AATTGATACGGATCGTTCGTTTAACCGAGTTAATTTGTTGAGTAAATTAAAGTGGTAAGTACCTGAATAATGAGAACTAATTGTCATTGCACTTGGACAATTTTCTGACACTGATTTATGGTATTAATCGATATTCGGTTTTCGGTACTGATTTATTTTCTAATTTTTTTAAAAGACAAAAAAAATTGATACGAATCGTCCGTCTATCCCAGTTAATTTGTTGAATAAGATTAGAGGGGTAAGTACCTGAAAAATGAGAACAAATTGTCATTGCACTTGGACAATTTTTTGACATTGATTTATGGTTTTAATCGATATTCGATTTTCGGTACTGATTTTTACTCTTCCATTTCTCTATAAGAAAAAAGAATTCATACGAATCGTTCATTTATTCGCGTTAATTTGATGAATAAATTAAATATTGGTTGGTCTTCGGTTTTCGGTACTGATATATTCTCTCATTTCTTTATAAGAAAAGAAAAATTGATATGGATTGTTCTTTTATCCGACTTAATTTGTCGAGTAAATTAGTGGGGTAAGTACCTGCAAGATGAAAACAACTTGTCATTGCACTTAGACAATTTTTTAACGCTGATTTATAGTATTGATCAATATCCGGTTTTCGGTACTGATTTAATCTTTGATTTCTCTATGAAAGAAAAAAAGATTGATACAAATCGTTTGTTTATCCGCGTTAATTTGATGAATAAATTCGATTTGATCGGTATTCGATTTTCGGTACTGATTTCTCCTTTTATTTTTCTATAAGAAAAGAAAAAATTCAAACGAATTGTTCATTTATCCACGTTAATTTAATGAAAAAATTAGATATTGAACGGTCTTCGATTTTTGTTATTGATTTATTTTCTCATTTTTTTATAAGACAAGAAAAATTGATACGAATCGTTGGTTTATCTGAGTTAATTTGTTGAATAAGATTAGAGGGGCATGTACCTGAAAAATAAGAACAAATTGTCATTGCACGTGTGCAATTTTTTGACACTGATTTATGGTATTAATCGATATTCGATTTTCGATACTGATTTACTCTTTCATTTCTTTATAAGAAAACAAAAAATTAATACGTATCGTTCATTATTCCACGTTAATTTGATGAAAAAATTAGGTATTGAACTGTGTTCGGTTTTCGGTACTGATTTATTCTCTCATTTCTTTATAAGAAAAGAACAATTGATACGGATCGTTCGTTTAACAGAGTTAATTTGTTGAGTAAATTAGGGGGCTAAGTACCTGAAAAATAAGAGCAAATTGTCACTGCACTTGGACAATTTTCTGACACTGATTTATTTATTAATCAATATTCAATTTGCGGTACTGATTTACTCTTTCATTGTACTATAAGAAAAGAAAAAATTGATACGAATCATTCATTTATCCGCGTTAATTTGATGAATAAATTAAATATTGATCGTGCACGATGGGGGAGGAAGAGAGAGAGGGATGGGGATAAGTGGTAGAAAGGCTGCTAGGAGAAGGGGGAGGGAGATGGGGGATGAGAGAGGTGGAAGAGTGAAGGGGCGAGAGGGAGGAGGAGGAGGAATAAAAGAATGAGAGAGAGAGCGAGGGAGAGAGTGTGAAGGAATGGAATGAATGGAGGAAAGCGAAAATCGGCGGTAGGAAGTAAGAATTATAGGAGTAACAACGGCATAAAAATATAGATATATACATATGTATAAAAATAGATGATAAGCGAACAATTAATTATAAGAGATAAGCGAGTGAATAGATGTAAGATATTTGTAAAGTAGATTTAAGGAGGGGCGGGGGATGGGAGTGTGTGTGTGTGTGTGTGTGTGTGTGCGAGGGGATAGGGGCGAGCGTAATAGTAAGTGAGGAGGAGATTATATTGGATTATATTGGAATTTGTAACCCCGCCAGGGGAATCAATAAAGTATACATGCAATTTAACATTGATCGGTCTTCAATTTTCGTTACTGATTTATTTTCTCATATCTTTATAAGAGAAGAAAAATTGATACGAATCATTCGTTTATTCGAGTTAATTTGTTGAGTAAATTAGAAGGGTAAATACTTGAAAAATGAGAACAAATTGTCACTGCACTTGGACAATTTTCTGACACTGATTTACGATATTGATCGATATTCGATTTTCGATACTGATTTACTATCTTATTTCTTCATAAGAGAAGGAAAATTGATACGAATCGTTCGTTTATTCGAGTTGATCTGTCGAATAAAGTAGAGGGGTAAGTAACTGAGAAATGCAAACAAATTGTCATTGCATTTTGACAATTTTTCGACATTAATGTACGATATTGATCGATATTCAATCTTCGATATTGATATGGATAGTATTTTTCGATACTGATTTACTCTTATTTCACTTCTGTATGAAAGAAAAAGGGAAATTGACACGAATCATTCGTTTATCCCAATTACTTATTTGAATAAATTTTAGAATTGAATAAAATTTAAAATTGATTAAAATTTAGAATTGAATAAAGTTTAGGATTGAATAAAGTTTAGGATTGAATAAAGTTTAGGATTGAATAAAGTTTAGAATTGAATAAAGTTTAGGATTGAATAAAGTTTAAGATTAAATAGCAATTATAATACGTCCCGTCTAGTATGTGATTTTCGATATTAATATTGATAATTTTTTTATACTAATTTATTGATACTAATTTATTGTCTCACTTCTCTATAAGACAAGATGAAGAAGATGAAGGAGAACCGACGTGAATCGTTCGTCTATTAGAGTTACTTGCGGTTGAATAAGCTAGCCCAGAATTAAATAGCAATTATAGTACGTTTCGTCAAGTACGTAATTCTCGATACTGATTTACTCTCTGTCGTTTCTCTGTGAGAGAAAATGAACAATTAACATAAATCGCTTTTCTATCCCCGTACTTAGTTAAATAAACTAGCTCAGAGCTAAATAGCAATTATAATGTCTCGACGAATACGTGAATTAATTCCGCGACTTCGATTCCGCCTTGAAACACTGCGAGAGAGACAATTTCCAGCGGCATAGTTTGACTGTAAACGCAACTCGCGTATTCGATTTCGAATCAAAGGTACGAATGGTAAATTAGCGCGTCGAGAGCGATTTGTAACAGAGTGAAATGTAACAAGAGATAATAATTCGGATAATAATTAGAAGATGCAATTTTTTACAAAAATATGTATAGAAATGCATATGTACAGGAAAAGAATCATGTGCTGTTGAACGAGGTGTAAGTTTGTGCGCGATGCCGTGTTTCTCAAACCCGCAATTATAGGCGTACCACAGACACGAACCGCCAGTAAGTGGACGTAGAACGGACACGCACCTAATAGAGACTTTACTGGCAGCGTCTGTAAATGGGCGAAGTCAATGTAGTTCCAAATGGACGTAGATGGCGTTAAAATCAGTCATAAAAATGCATGTCGCTAAAAACGCCGGCGTGGTCGCTCTCAAGCTTCTCTCTGCTTAAGGTCATTCTACAATGAGGTTGTAGTAGTATGCAGTAGGCAAATTGACCAATCACAGTCGATTATTCTTCGATCGTAAAGAGAACAGTCGATCGTGATTGGTCAATTTGCCTACTGCATACTACTACACCTCATTGTAGAATGACCTTTACGCTTACAACCTTATTCTTGCAGCCATTGTAGATGGGCCTTAATATTCCTCTTTTGACTCTTTGTTCGCCAGTTCCGTACGAAATAGGCAGTCGCTGGTCAACCACGAATAAATTTTATTAGATTTTGAAGAGTCACCTTGCGACTTCCTGTTGCTAAGAAAAATCATCAAACGAGATAAAACGGGGTAAGCATTGATTAATAATTTATTAAATAAATATAATTATAGAATAATATGAGATTTATAATTTAGCCAGTTAATTATTACATGTCCAAATCAAGGTTAGGATGATGAAAATATTGAATAGAAATTGAAATATAAAAGGATTACTTGATATTTACTTATATCATCTAGATAACATAAATCTATAATTTTTTTATTTACATTTATCTAAAAACGAAGTAGTTTGTTAATCTGTGTAATATTAACCAATACGTAGATTTTCAATATTGCGGTATTAGAAGAAAGAGATATGCTCAAAAATAACCTCTTACCACATTATTTCTTCGCCATCTAGTTACCTTCACACAGTAATCTTCGAGTGCTAGGTATATTCACGCATAAAACGCTCCAATAATAGATATATTCCGTTTTGCGCATTGAGTGCTTTTGTCTATAGTATGTGCGACATGCTGCAGATAAACATGCATACGCTTATGTCGAGAAGTGGAAATACATCCAAAGACTTCTGTTACTGGTTAGGATATTTTATTTTGGTTACATTGTAATTATATGTTTTTATGTTATAATTACAAGCTATAAACTTTTTATTAGCGTTCTCGATAAAATGAACGTTAAACGATCAGATTGATGACATAAACTCTACGATAAATTAATCAGAGTTAATGACGTCATTAAGGATTTCTGAGATGTACCATAAATACTCAGAGATCCGTGAAACAAGCGAAGGCATTTTTCGTTTTTTGAGCAAATTACGGAGAGAATCATCTCATAATTGTATTATTTGTGGTTTCTTAACCTTTTGCATTTTAGCAATATGTAAATTAAGATTCTAAGATATTCAATCGCTTAGAATTGATTTAAGCCAATAAGAATTGCGTAAGAATGTTTATAGCGAATAATTATTTCGGAAGGAAAATAATTAACTCTTTCTCGAAGAATCAATATATAATTTCAGAATCAAAAGTTAAGACTCACTAGCGAAAAAGGGAAAGAAATTAGTATAAGGAAGCATACGGATTGCATCAGAAAAGAATAAACTAATGGGGTTCTGCTAATCAATTGTAGTCTCAGTACAACACAAAAGAACAGATCTAATATTTAAAGAGAAAAATATCCAGTGCATATCAATGCATACAAATCTATTTATAAAGTTTATAAATAAGTCTATAAAGTTTCTAAATATTAAAGATATTTATAAAGTTAATAATATTACAATTATAGACTTATCGGAAAATATTTCTTGATAAGATTATTATCAAAGATAAAATACAATCATACATACATGACAGTGGCTGTTAAAGTGTTAAGAGTGCAAAAATATCAAGGAATATAATTTATTAAGGGATATCAATTTTTAATACATTAATATGAAGATATTTATCATTCTGACCATTTTTGAATCATTGTAAGTACTGGCCCATATTCAGAACACGCTTGTAACTATGTTAGTGCTCTGTTAACCAATGAAAAGCCACGCAATATGCCTTCTGATTAGTTAACAGCACACTAATATAGTTATAAGCATGTTCTGAATATGGGTCAATATCTTTTGCTTCAAAAACAACATTTTAAAAGTTAAAAGAGATATGAGTTGGATAAGAGACAGGTTGATTATATGTCTGATAATGTGAGTTAAGTTGAATTACTTTTTTCTCTTGTTTTATATATTTTCTAAGCTTCATATTATTAATAATAGGTTAAATGTATTAATAATAAAATAAATATTAGATTTACAGCTTAGAAATTGCTGCCATATAAAACTACGATTGATTTATTTAAACAATTAAGACATGGATCTGAGTCAACTTGAAGTATCTAAAACAGAAAAAGAAAATGTTTGTCTTACGGGAAATCCAGATACTTCAAACTGTGTATCATTTTTCAAGTTGGGAGATACATCACAATTTATTACTAATAATGATGGTAGTGATGGAGAAGCAGAAACCATGTCCTTTGTAGTATTAGGAAAAGATTCATTGGATGCTATTCAAGCTTCTTCTTTAGCTTCATATGTTGACATTCAACAGAAAAGCATGTCAGTTGTATGTATATTGCAACTTTATATTATCTTGAATAACAGTTTTGTTCATGTATTTGTATATATTGTTCTTGTACTATATACATGTGTGTCCACACACAAAAGTAAAATATATATATATGTATATGTAGAATTATTGTTATTTTAAAATAATAATTAATATCTCTTTCTTTCGTAGGATTATAACTCCTTGATATCAGTATTGCCAATAAATGAGACACATAAAAAACTAACCGAACTCTTACAAGAGAACACAAAATTGAAGGAAACCTTAAAACAAAATAGTTTAGCTATGAAAAAACAACTTTCTACCATGGCTTCATGGCAAGGAATTGTGATGAAACTGCATGAAAATCACAAGAAAAAGTTTAAAGAAACTACTGATTTAATCAATAATCTTAAAAGAGAGAATTTGGAGCTAAAAACTAGACTTGCCACACAACAGTCTGAAGATACAGAACACAACTTTGAGGTATATAAATAATATAGAAATATGATGTGTAACATATTTATAAAATATATATTATATATTATCCTTTTTATAGGCAATTAATAGAACTAATTCTGATAACGATGATACTGTTATATATACATCGCAATGGGATATTGATGATATAACATCTAAAACTGAAGCATTGAAGTTTCAAAGTGATGAAGCATCTGAATCTTTCAAAGAAGAAAAACATGCATCACTTGATAATCAGAAATCTCAACTCTTGCAACAAACTGACTTCATGGAAGGCCACTTGGAAGTATAAAAGCAATAGAAATATGACATCACTTATTTAAAGTCTTAATTTTAATATATTATTCATTCTGTTTTCTTTTTCTTTTAGCATTTATCTAGCATTACTTCCAATGAGGATAACACTTCCAATGAGGATAACACTATTTCTGCTTATAAAGCAGTATCTCAGGGAGAAGCATCTGCATTACCACTTAAAAAAGAAGAGAAATGTGTATTAACTAATAAACACTGCAATTGTCAGTTCTCTTATAAGGATTTAAAGAAGGAAGCTGACCTTTCCACAGAAATATGTTATAACAAAATGAATTATAGTCTTAACCCAGAAGACAAAATATCGGGATATTATGATAAACAAATACAATATAAATATGACACAAATGATATTAATACATCTTCTGTAACAATTAGAAAGTCAAATCCAGCAATTAAACACATACATAAGGTGATGTCTAGATATTTTATTAATGTACACACACACACACACACGCACACACACACACACACACACACACATATATACACGTATTCATCGTAACGATATCCACGATTTTTTCATTAATTATAATAATCAGATAGAAAAAGTTCTCGATACAATTTATCAATTTTTAAACAGCAATAAGATGAAAAAAAAATGTTGAAAGTGACTTTCGCGAAGAGATCAGTCACTTTAATTTTTTTGAATGGAATTATTTTTTGTTTGTAGTGTTGTAAAAAGAATCAAAACAAATGCAATATATTGGTTATGCAATATACAAGTTAATATATTAACTTGTAATGTAATTTTTATTGACATTTTGTAGTGTATTCCAAATATATATCTTCTATCTGTTCAAACTATTGTTATTAAAACAAACTAAAATGAATTCTACATTATAATGAATTTTGACACTGTTAAATGTTAATAAAAATAACATTATGAGTCAATATTATATTTGTTTTGATATTTTTTACAACACTACGGATAAAAAACATATATTTTAATTTAAAAGATCAAGATGAACATATTTTTTTCACGAAAAAAGAACATTTCCGTAATTTTTATTGTCCCATCTTATTGCTGTTCGCAAACTGATTAACTGCATCCAAAATTATTTTCTGTTCAATCTTTATTTGAAAAAATCATAGATATTATTACAATGGATAGCGCTGGCGCATATATGCTAGATACAGTACACAAGATGATTATTTTATTTTTCAATTGTATTGCTTTTTGCATTTTACAGCTAATGTTTTCTATTGACAAGTGTGAAATAGGTTCTACTCATTGGAATGATAGGGAATACGAAAATAATAGAATGCGCTATAACAATCTGATATCTGAATTGGTCACCAACTTTTTAGAAGTGATTGGTCGATTTGATTCCGTCACACAACACTTACATAATATTATGAATATATTTGCGCCTGTTGAGATAGATACAAGAAAGAATACATTTGCTAGTGATATGAAATTATTGAAAATATTTTCAAAATATAGAACTGAGATGATTACATACCGTCAGTTAACAGCAAATGATGAAATGAACCATCTAATTTCTACAACCTATGACGCTTTAAAAAAGATGCATGATGAAATTCGTGACATATTTGTGAATTACCAAGAAGCACTTTATATGGTGGACTTAACGATGGACGAGAGTTTAAAAATGACGAATGCACAGGATGACGATAATACGCAAGAGCAGACTGAAGTACAACAGAAATTAAAAGCATTGGCTATCGAGCAGAACAAAATACAGAAACAGAAAAAAGAACTGGAGGAGAAGAAACATGAACTTGATCTGTTAAGCAATACATTGGATAATAAGAGTAAACATATTGACGGTATATATATATTACGCGATCAACTTATACGACGTAAAAAGTTATACGATGGTAAAGTGCAAGCTCTGCTGAATGAAAGACAATTATTGTTGCAAGACCAGAAAATAGATGTAGCTGATATGTTAGAGAAATACAAGCAAAAAGATCTGGAATGTAAAAAACTACAACAACAATTAGATCAAAGCGTGAGTGCATTTTCTTCTTCAGACTCATTTGGTTCTCCGCAACATTATTTATTCAAATAAATGTAATTCACATTACGGCATAAGTTTCATCATATTTTTATAATATTCTTCTTTTATGTAGATTTTAGATATCAGTTTATATAAAAATCAGTTGTCCATGTATGAAGAAGATTTCAAACAAGAGAAAAATGTAAAAGAGTTATTGCAACTAGAGAAGAGCAAATTAAACACGGAATTAGAGAAACTAGTAACCCATAATAGGGAATTAACATCTTTGTTATCATCTACCGATATCGGTCGTATTAAAATGGGAACCACTTCTCAAAATTCAGTAAGTACCTTTCATCTATGTTTTGAAATTAAAATAATATTTTTAAAAGTTTTAATATTTTAAAAAATTTTAATTCAGGAAGCATTTCTTATTTTACTACGATACATACGATAATTCATGTTGCTCCCTCATGCTATTACGGAGATATGTTAGAAATTTTTGCACTTTTGCATATGAAAATTTAAATTTAATTGCAGAATAAAGAGGTAATGCAACCATGTCCGAAATGTGAGACAGCATTTGCTACTCTGATGGGCTTGACGGAGCATATTGAACAATGCTTAAATTTAATTTAATTGGAAGCATTAAGTTTGATTTTATCGAATAGACCATTCGTAGCTGTCGATTATGTAGGCAGCTCACGTCTTCACTTCGATTCCATGGATTCGGAAAATGCACGCCATCATTCGAATAAACTTGAAAGAAGAAAATTCATATTTGGAAAATGGAGAATCTCTAGAACATCTAGAAATGAAGGATATTGTATGTGTGTGTGTGTATGAAAAGTTTATCAACACTTAAAAATTACCTCAAAAGTAAAATAACTGGATTACACTTAAATGATTCAATTCTCAAACAGTTAGCGATCTTTTCTCAATGTGTTTTTATAATTTCTCTCTCTAAAAATAATAATTTCATTTTACTAATTATCTTTTAAAGATAGATTTTTTGCATGTGAAACAATTATATTTTTTTCAATACTTATCTATGAGAATTGAAATAATTTTAACCAAATAATTCAGTTATAATAAGTTTTATATAAATTTCCAAGTTTTAATTTTCAATTTTAAATTTAATTTTTAATTTTGAGTTTTATAGTTTTGAATTAATATTAGTAAGAATGATTATAAAAATGGGTGTATCTAATACACTAAGCACATACACTAAATATAAAATGTTCAGTCATGAATGAATGCTCCATCTAGAGTGAATACTTTTCTATATCTACTTATTGATTTCTTGAAGCTAGTGATAGTTTTAGTTTAGCGATCTATATTAAACAAATCAAATTATTTTTTTACTTCATTTTTGCTAAATTTTAGATTTTTCTATAAAGAAGTAACCTATATTTTATATTAGTTTTATTGAGATATTGAGATATTTTTCAATTTGAAACATTCGATTGATAATCTTATATTAGACTATTTACAATGTTTAGTTGTTTGCTTATCCTAAAATGTTCGTGTGTAATATTTGATAAAATTAACACATAACACATAATATACACACATATTAATCCAACATATAATAATCAGTTTGCTGTATTATATTAACTGTGAAAAAAACATTCTAACTAATAATAACTGAATGATATTCATAATGCTTTTAACAAAGGACAGTTCTCAAGTTTATCGAAAATGAGGTAATATTAGTTCATATAATTTTGTTTTAGTTCAATTTTATATTGTTATTGACTTGTACATATTTTCACACATGTTATAGTACCTGTACATACATACAGTTGCAAAATGCAATGTAACAATATCGGGTAAATAAATGGATTATTTTCGTAGAAAACATTTCGAGTGGATACAATTAAACTATCTTGAAACAAGATATATTTATCGTAAAGTTGCTTGTGGTTGAATATTGTTCGATACTCGACCGAACATATAATAGCTTCGGAGAGCTGGCTGGTGAATTTCGAATCGCAGAGCGATGTCCACCTGCGACTATGTCGCTCAAGGAATTGGACAACCGACCGATCGTCCCGGCTGACGTCTGATTTATGTCGCAAGGCTGGCCAGAACCTCGAAGAAACGCGCAACACCAAGGTGCCCAGGAACGGCGGCGAAAGCAAGAGAGAGGAAAGGATACGCACTGACGACGCAAAGAGGCACGCAGTGGAAAACGCGCAACGGGCGCAGTAGAAACGCAAGGAGAATAACGCAGAAGAACGACGCAGAAGGAACGTAGTAGTAACGCAACCATTTATAAGGCGATGACGCTCACCAAAGCAAAGTCCCGGAGGACACACGCGTCAGTGACGCCAACGGGAAGCGGCACCCGGAGCACGTCAAAGACGAAATGACCTCCGTCGTTTCGGAAGGCCTGCCCTTCTGGACGCAACGGCCTACAGCAAGTCACGCGGGTGGACCCGCGAATTGCAAGTTGCAAGTTGCCGCGGTTGCATAGCAGCACCGCACGGCACGTCCGAGCTGTACGGAACAAATACGAATATCCTATCATATAATCTCAAGTAAACCAAGCCACTACTTCAACCAGAGTCCGCACACAGTCTTCATTTATTTTTAGTTTTTTTATTTTTAGTTTTATTTATTTTTAGTTATTATTATTGTTGAATCTTAAAGCTCTGGTATATCCAAGCTAGGATTCTCATCTATTACACCAATTAGTGAAATTTTTAGATTTAAATACATGTGAGGTTCGGGAATATAAGATCTTAGTCTTATTGATGTCGTTTTAACCGATTAAAACTGAACTTAACGCTTCTGCGACCAAGTCTCGACGAGAAGTAAGTCTTAAGAGAAACGAGGGTGCGTAGAGACCGATCGAAGACAGCGCAAAGCGCTTAATATATACATCATGAAATTATATTTTATTGCATCATTACTTATATTTACATCAATACATGCGTTTGTCTTATTAATATATATACAATGTTTTGTCTTGTGTGTAATTTGTAGGAAATAGCATTAATATATTATATGCAAACATAAAACATAAAAATAGAAAAACTTTATATAAACATATAAAACATTAAAATATAAATAGAAGAACAAATATACCAAAGATTTCATTGGAGCGATGAAATCTTGAATAAAGATCTTTGATTTGAATTATTTAACTAATTACTGGAATGTAATATATACATTACTATAAACATTATGTAATAACGATTCTTTGACACTGCAAATTACGCAAATGATTCTATAATTTAACTCAAAATTGTCTTTTGCTTATGAAAGTTTAGAATTCTTCTGTTTAGAGGACAAAATGGATCTGAACTTATTACTTTGTAATAAGTTATACGAACCGTATGTACAAAACTTATGAGATAGGAATGGGATGTAAAAAGCTCTGAAAAACTGGTGTGACCTGTAACACAAATAATAATAATAATAGTAGTAGATGCAAAAGTAAATTGTATTATTATATCTAAGCATAGATACATTGAATAAAAGTTTGAATAGTATATTTTAAACTTACTTTGATGCATCTAAAAATTTTGAAGACTTTACAACAGTAAAATGGTCACTTAGACGAGAATAATTCGGTTCTAAGGCTGTTTCAGTGCCTATATCCAGATCTAGTAGAAAATGACATTTATCGAGATTAAACTGGAAACAAAAGAAAGATAATCAATCACATATATAATAACAACGTTTTATCCTCCCACTAATATAAGATTGATACTTACATAGCGCGATATTTCTTCTTTGTTCATATCGTTAAAATGCGGTTGTATTATACTCGTTGCATTTTCATGGTCTGAAAAAGGTTGTGGTAATTGTCCTTTAAACTCCGACTTTAAATATTGTAACTTCCAACTGGAAATAGTTTAATGTCGCATAAGAATAAATCATAGATGTACCAAATAGTCTCAGTAAATTTAACAAATAAACATATGATCTTATATAAAATTAAAATTAACTTGAGTACTCACTTGTGGGATGGAAAGAAGAAATTGCTGGGAAAGCGATGCCATTCTTTTCCGATACAAAAATTTATATTAACGTCGTTAGGTACTGCACCTTCAGTGCCCAGCTTATTAACTTCAATCATAACTTCCATAGGAGCATAATACCCTAACGCAGCAAAAAAAAAAAGGAAGTACATATCTGTTAAAAGTTAAATTTTATAAGCTACTTTGTGGGAACTTTGTTTCCCGAAAAAAAATCAATGAAACTATGTTTCATTACAAAGTATAAACCTTTATAAATCGCCAAAGATCTTGATAATCCTAAGAGACCACACGTTAGTATCGCTAAAATGGTGATATGCGCGGTATATTGTAAGTAGTGACAACTGATATGCGATGGATTGAGTTTCGTCCTAACATAAAAGTACAATTTCTGTACGATATCCACTGTTATAGCGCCTGCCAAACAAATCATAGGATATACTGGAAATAGGAATCGTTCCTCCTGTTGACAATATTCGACTAGTCAATTTCCTTGTTTTTTCTCTGTAGAAGTCCATCAATTGCAATAATAGGAAAGAGTGGAACGCATTTGAATAAAATTGATTTTCTCGTCTAAATTGTGCATCCGAATGAAGGGGAAAACTTTTTTTTTATAGATACTTTAAATGAAAATCGCTGAGAAAAAAGCTGTTACATTCTAAAAGAATCATTTAAATTATGATAAAAATAACTAGTGTTCAAATGTAGTCACTTTTTCCTTACAGTATTTATTATTTAACACCTACCTTGTGCGGTTGAAAAAAAAAGACAATGATCCATAGATATAAGGGAGCCAATGAGTACCAATAAGAAAGACACAAACGATCTCTTGGGCGTGTTGGTACAATCAGCCATACTAAAAGCTATAACAGGAATCGAAATATTTTATATATTTCTACTATATATAGAGACAAAAACTATCGTTATTGCTCAAGTGAAATTTAATACGTAAAAGAGAAATTTGTTTTTATACTTAATTCACGCAATGTTTTGTTTCTAATATTTAAAAAGAGTCTAAATATTGGGATCGAAATGTTTAAATTGATATAAAAACAAATTTTTCCTTTTATGTATTAAATTTTGTTTGAGCAATGATAGCGTTGGTTCTTGTATCAAACTTTAAAGATTAGTTGGTTTATGGTGGATATCACAGATGCTTACCAAACCTAAAGGCGCTAGTAATGCACCAATAAAGATAAAATTGAAATTCAAGAATCCATTAATGATATAATAGTTGAATGGCTCAGTGCCATAAATATTAGGCCCGTGACTAGTGAAAATATTGTATAATATAATGTTTAATGGCGCGGCAACAAATTTGCCAAAATACATGGAATCTACCGATACCATTGGTATTACAATTACAACAGCAGATATGATAAACCACTTTATGAATTTGACCCATTCCCGTTTTTGTGTCAGCATTTCAATGGCAATCGGAAGTCTAGAAAAACAGAAGCGAGATTAAATTATTTTCTTTCTATTACAATACTCTCCGTGCGAGATATTTCACGTTCGCATATTATATAAAATACCCAAGTAGTGCAGCGAATGGCCATCCCAGCAATGAAGAAATGGCAGTAGTAAATATGGCTAATTCATATTGACGAGCATACCAAGCTGCTGTAGCAACAGTACTGAAGTACCTGTGATGAATAAAAACAATCCATAAATATATCAATGATATTTAAAAAATTTGTAATGTAATATGAGGTGTTGAACGGATAAAATTAAAAATATCTTATTTCAAATACTAAGGCTTTAAATACTTACATTGAAAAAGATGATGGCAAAAATGCGGCACTAGAAATGTACATTCCAGAGCTAAGAATAAGGAAGACTAATGTAAGTCTTGCTATATGGGTTCCAAATTCGCGACAAACATTTCTGAAAAGATACAAAATCATATATTATAGAATAAAACTAGAATATTGAACAGATAAAATTAAATTATGTAAAAATTAAACAATAATGTAAGCATTATTGCTTTATATAATATGGATGTAAAACATAAGACATACTTGTAAAAATATACTTCGGATAATGCACAACCCACAGACAGGAGGCATCGTATAAAATAAAACACCAGCACAGGATTAGGTTCCAATAAATAATGATAAACTTTTGCTGGTACTATATGCACTAATAAGTACATATATGAACGTAGTGCATATTGAGGACTATATTCCCATGTTTGTTGGCCTGTTCCATAGAGCAAGTAATGACTCTAAGACAATGCAGAATATAATATAGATATAGCAAATTGCAAATTTATTCTGCAAACATTGCTGTAGGTGATCCAGTCGTGAAGATACTGTGATTAATACAACTCACCGGTTCCCAGTAATTATACGTTTCATCACAGTCTGTTATATGGCTCCATATGGCGGAACAAAATCTGGCTGACAGCAGTAGTTTGAAAGCTGTGTCATAGCTAGGATGAATGAGTCCCGCATCGGAAGATTCTTCTGGCCTAAAATTAAGTCACTTAATCTTATGCTTTATCTTTGAATGAATATTATGCTGAAATTTTATAAGCTGACATATTATATCTATTGTTGGCTGTCAAACGTTCCAAGATACCAGTAAGAGGGGTTAGCCGGTGCATGGTTTGACAAATGTTTCATGTATCAGGAGCTTAATACTATTTACTGAATCGTTTGAAATAAATGAAAAGAAGAGAAAAGATTTCATATACTTTGAGAATCTCCTTCCATTGATCTTTTTTAATTCCCTCTTCGACAAAACGAGCTGACGTTGACGTTGATTGGGCGCCATGATCTTTTTGCACACCTCATCTATTATCTGCTCTAGGCTACATCGTTATCTGTATATGTATATATTGTTAAAAATCAATATTTTGGATAATCGAAGACATAATTAAAATTTCACAATCGTATATGTGTATACCGAATATTTGTATATATAATTATAAACATTATGCAATTATATTTGCAGTATGCAATTAGAATTATAGCGCATATATACACATATCTTGCTCTTTTTTTAATGAAACAAACAGATACGAACAATTACGCGGGAACAAACTATATTTAATTTTTTTGTATTTTCTATTGCGCACAAAGTATTGAATTGAAAGAAATGATATTTTATATTTGATATAGAATATTCTTATATTTGAATCATGTCTGTGTAGTTTCCATAGATACGTAAACAGTAAAGATGGACATTGATCCGAAATTCACATTTATGCCATTGAAAGAAAAGAATTACGTTGGAATTAACGATAAAAATATTCAAGAATATCTCTGTAAATGGTGATGAAAATTATTTCAGTAATGTAATTTATACAATACAAATATTTATTCTTAATATCATAGAATGTCTTAACTTTTGTGTGCTAACACATTTATATATTATATATTATTATTATATATTATATATATTATATATAATACATATTAAGAGAGAGTATGAATCTATTACATCATTATATCCCAGACAGCACATGATCTCCTGGGGACATCCTATGGACGCCCTGAGGATGAAGAAACATCCCCAGGATGTCCTTAAGACGTACTCTGGATGTCCTCTGGACATCTGTGCTGTTAGGGATATTAATATACATTACAATTCATATGTGTTCACAGGGGCTTGAAGGGAAATTTTATTATTCAGAATTTTTCATTTAATGAACCATTTCACCAGTATCATAAATATCAGTTAGTTGATGTAAGTTTATTTTTTATGCCAAAGTGTGATTTCCACATCTTGGAAAAAAAAACATTTATTTATAAGCTCGAAGATTTTTATATACGAAATGAAAACAAATATAGACACATTTTCCTAGAGATATTTTTAAATTTTTAATTATCAAAATGTATGAATTTATAGACTTTTTTTAAAGATGATTCTGTTGCAAAGGAATTATTATCAAAACAAGGTGACAGCTGGATAAAACAAGGTACAATATAATTATAATTTTTTCTATAGATTATAACATTAATATAATAAATTTATTGAAAAAGAAAAATTTTTGTGATTACAGGCATACAAGCATCAGATGTAGAGATAAAACAAATACCTTGTACAGTTTTAAGTATGAATTTTTTTAACAAGCTGAAAGATCCAAATAATGGGATAATATATAGTTCGGGAATAATTAGTAAAAGATATGATATGCAAGTAGAGGATTTTCTGGTATCTGACAATCTTCGTGGTGTAAGTTATCTTCACTAAGAATATAAGTTGTATTTTTATAATATAGGATTATTTAACAAAACTTAACATTACAAATATGCAAAGTATGGAGAACGAGCATATCCATTTATTGTTATTAAAAATATATACATATTGCTTCTAAATCTTCAGTATTTTTAGATGCTCTTAGACGAAGATTCAGAAGAATACAATTTGTACACGGAAGACGAAAGAAAAGAATTTGTGTTTCGAATTTTTCAAATGCTCGTTCTTGGTGGGATGTTGTGTCAGTTTGAAGATACGTTACAACCATATCTGGATGTTACTAGAAGTATTTATAAAGATCTCGTAAGGTTATTACACTTTCTTAAATATTCGAAATTGAATATAACGTTATGTCCAGCCTATTATAATGTTACGAGCGGTTTTGTTTTAGAGTGCAGAAACACGATGCTTCAAATAATTTGTTCGTAAGCACTTTGGTGTTGGAAGTAATCGCAAAAGATAGTAAAGGTCAAGAATATTTCCCGTGTAATACCAGCAACAAGCAGAATATTGCGTTTTTATTAATAAATGCTAATTCTCGCGAAATTACGACTTTTGTGCATCAGTATGGTGGATACTGTTCTATGTAACGTATACGATTGTGCTACACGTAAGACAATATAAAATTTTGCATGCTAAATTATTACTTCGTTTATACATCCATATTTTTAATTATAAAAGTCACAATAAGAAATAATAACTATAAAAAGGGGGGATTTGCGCGGATAATACCAACGACTTCCACATTTCATACAAGACAATTTATTTAGGTGTAAATTTAGACTTTAATTATACTAAAATATATATGACGTTAGTCTGAAGAATAACTTGGTTTGATATTTAAGATAACAGTTTCGGTTTCACAAGGTACTTCATTTTTCAATATAATCCTCGAAGCTCAATGCACTTCCTCCAACGTCTCTCCACGTTCCCGATTCCTTCCCAAAAGTGGATTTCTTCGAGATCCTCGAAATAGTCGTTTGTGGCCTCTATTGCCTCTTTATTTGACCTAAATCTCTTTCTAGCCAGGAAAATTTGGATTTCGGGAACAAATGGAAATCCGAGAGAGCTAAATCAGACGAATGCGCTAAACAGTAGATACGGAAGAATGTCAAAATTTAATTCGGCCAATTTTTGTTGAACGAGCTTGCATCATCATGGTGAAATAATACCTTTTTCTTGTCCATTCCGGGACCGTATTCCACTAGTTTTTCTTTTTCAGGTATGTAATAGTGAATCCAAATATATGAACAATATATACAATTGTTCTCGTTCTCTGTTAGTACCTGAACTAAGTTATTCTTCAAACCACCTTCGTATATTTGGGTATATTTACCGCATCAATTAAACAGCTTCTTTTTTGTTGTGAAAAGAGTTATTTGATCATATAGCTATTAGGTCCTTAAAAGGTCCTTAAAAAGAAAAGAGCTTCATACATTTACATTTATACATATTAGCACATATACATGTGTATATTTATACACATTTATACATACATTACATTTAAACATTTATCACAGGAACTAAGTACAAGATATTATTTAAAAAACATACGGCAAGTTCATCTCAGGATAAAACTAAAATATTCCTTCTTTTGATGTTTCTTGCATTCATGAAAAGAGGTATTTTTTCTCAACATTATAATGTGAAAATATTAGCCCGTTGTTGTTTACGACTTATATGTAAGACTAGTTTATATCAGCCTGTACTTTTATAATACACTTAACGCCAAAGTACCTATGCCTGTCTTCTAGTACCTTTGTAATATAAATATTAATATTTACTATTAATAAACATTTAATAATTATTTTGTTTATTTTCATAATATAATTTAATCATAATTATTTAATAATTATTATTAATGCAAAGGCGTAGACTCGATTACATTTAGCGCCAAATGTAGAATAAAAATATGTTTTTTATTCTGCAATATGTTTTTTATCGTACAGACATATATAATTAATAACTTCTAAGTGTTTTCATTATTGTATCTTGCTTGAATTATAAGTTTGCGGATCTTTTGTTTTACAAACATATAAATAGGACCTTCCTCCTGTACCGTTATTATACAGACGATATTTTTGGTTGCAAATTAGCAAAAGTAAAGTCAATGAACATAAAAAATGATTAATCATAAAGTATCTAATAAAGGTTATCGAGAAGTTTACACTATTAAGAGTGATATCGATGAAAGATTTGAGCTAACACTGAAAAACATTGGCACATATAATATTAATTTTAAATGAGAAGTTTATAATATATATAAATCTCATATAATTCACATCTATATAATTATAGTTCAATAAGAGGATAATAAGCGTATCTTTTCAATGTACGAGATAACATATTTTACATCACAAATGTTAAAATAATTATATTACCACTTAAAGCAAGATACATACTGCCTATAACAGTAATTCGCACGTAAGTATATAAATGTACTTGTATATAAAGTCTCTCAAGAATGTATGACATGTACCGCGCGACATCCTGATTATAATAGCTGTCTTCATCGATACACAATTATCAAAAATTTTAATTAAAGTATGTTATGTACATAGATTACCCCTTAGTCTAATATAGATAACTACGTTTAACAAATTCACTTTACATTTAACACAAATATTTGAAACTAATACCCCCCCGGTGCGGTCGAAACCATGTTGCTTTTGATTGTAATGTTTTGATGTGTGTTGTCTCGCCGTTTCATTAAAAACACGTTGCCCGCGCAATCGTTATCTATCCTTTGCAATAACAGTATTTGCGCAAATGAAATAGTGAATTTTCCACACATCTTGCCTGGGACCCGTACATGTTAATTCTGCTGACGTCAGAGATCTATGACAAAGTTATCACACATATTTATCATAATTATCGTTGCTGTCGAGTGCATGTCGGTCTCTTTGAATTTACCTTCGTATGGAAAGTGTTCTTCATAAGATCATGAGTGATACTAGCTTCGAACAACGCCTTACCCGGCGTGGTTCTCACTTTAACTTGATATATCTCTGTTGTCACTTTGGTTTTGGCACTGAAATCACCTACGAAACCGTCTTGGTCTCCGGATTTTCGAAAATCTAGCAAGCCTGAAATATCATGCTAGACATTAGCTTCGTCGATGAACAATTACAATGCGTCTTCTTTACTTGTTACGTTTACCTTTAGTGGGTATGAGCTTGGCAGCCCATAGAATTTCGTTCAAATGTAATATCTCGCATATGTCGCGATGATCTACGGTGTAATTATTAAGAAACTGGACGAAATAATTGACAGCAGCGATAACATTTATATCGTCGGTCAAAATTTCTTGCCACCCGAGACAGGCGCACCAGTGGGGCTCTATGAACGCATCTGCACATGTTCTGTCTAGAGGTATCTGAAATAGATCATATTAATTTCATTACTAAGGAATGTTCTATCGTGAAATTGTTTGCACTCGGTTTACGTCGTTATTGTAATATATTAATTTCGATGTTTCGTACACAACTGTTCTTCGCTTATGTTTCATGAAGTTACGTGCAGGAAATTGTTTTTATCTACGAAGTCGCTTAGTAAGTCACTCGCGACCGTAGTGGGGATATCTCAATGACGCGGCACTTAGCTCATTAGTATCTTTTAGCGTTCACGATGCAGACAGCGTGCTTCTTCTATCTAATCGTACTTGCTATTTTTTGTGATAAAATTCTCAATCATGTCGGATTCTTTCGTGATTGGTTGAAGCGCAATTTAATAATTGAATGATGAAAAATATAGAAATGTATCTCTGTGATGATCTTATTCGTATAATCATGATGTTCTCTTTTCGGTCTTCGCGTAGAAAGTTTTGTAACTGCGAATAAACATCTCACACGTGCTGTATATGTGTATTGAACTCTGTTTTACCTAATAGTAATATTTTCACGCGTTTGTTAAATATTTTCATTGTGAAATTTTTGCACTGACGCTCGTTTATCTTCTAATACTTCGCATGACCGAGATATGTGTTAGGCAGTTTAGAATGTATCATCTCTGGTATTATTTCTGGTGTAATAGGTAAATATATCATGATAAGAATTATCAAGGCACCTAACAATAGATGATATTATCCTCGATTTTAGTTTTTTTACGTTAAGAATATTTACATTGATTTATTTTCAATCGAGACGCTAATAACTTTCACATTAAAGTATTAAAAAAGGATTAAAGAATTGTCGAGACTTTCCGTGAGTGGGTTCTCACCTTGTCGAATAAGCTGATGGCTCTTTGACGACGGTCTCCATCCTTCGGCGTGTTAAAGTTAAGTACATTTTCTAATGTTTTATGCACATCAAATGGTGACGTTAAGTATTGCGTGTTGTACACAAAATTTGCATATGCATGCGGGTGAACTTGTTTGAACCAAGGTGGAAAAATAAAAGAAAAAAATGGAAGTCTTTCCTCCTGCTTGCCTTGCAAAGTGTTGCGAATCTCCGCGAATCTGTAAAATGAAAACAGCAAGATTAGTCCCGTACCTTAGAAGGAAAAGAATTCATGTCAATTTCTTTTCTTTTTAGTCTTTTGTTTTATTATAGTAATCGTAGAATATAAAATTGTAAATATTTCAAAACTTCAAAATTGATATATGTTACAGTTAACTGATATTTTAGTTTAAAGAACAAAATTTACAGCTGATTTAGAAAATTTCCAGATTCCTAAATGCTTATAAATTTTAAGAATTCTACAACTAGAAACTAAAAAAAAAGTAGACATTGACCCTTTTCCTTTTGACAAATTTCTCTAAAATATGCAGTTACATGATCAAATAAGTGAAAATATAAAACACAAATATCTCATCTACATGTAAAATATATTCACACCTGTGTCCATGATCGCTCATCAAAATTAAAATTGTATTATTTAAATGTCCAAAATCGTGAAGATTTTTCACCCAAGAATATAGATCGTCATCTACCACTCCAATATCATTGTAAGAATCATGAGACAATTCTCCATGAAATCCGAATACAAACTTTGGTTGTTTCTTATATATGTTGAATATTGTTTTTATATAATTCATCATCACCTACATAAATACATAGATAATAGTATAGAAAATTATATATGATACACATAAAATGTTTAAAATTTATAAAAGTCGCGTATAAATTACGCAATTTTGAGAAATGATTAGTCCTCAATGGAATTAAATTATATTTTAGTGTAACAAAAACATGAATTTTAACATAATATCGTCAATTTTGAAAGGATATTTTTAGCTGACTGACGGTTTATTTTTTTTTTCATTTCGTGTTATCAGCAAACTTCCATCATTTTTTATGCATACCATATGACGTGGAGTACCAGCAACACAGAATTCCTTGTACGTTTTGAAGTATGGAGAAGCAGCTAAATAATATGTGCGCATGTAGTGATGAGTCGGTTGCTCATTAAATCCTTTCAAGCGATATGTAAAGGTCCCGATATGCGGCACGTCTTCCATAAAACCGGTTATGTATCCGTGCTCCTTATACTTGTTCCATATCATGGGGTAAACATTAACGTAATTTGCTTTGTGACCCATTCGTTTTCGCGTTTCCGGTAATTCAAGTTCGATTTTGCCAGTTAGTATCGGAATAAGTGCTTGCGGAGTGCCGTCACCCACAATATTGTATCCTTCTAGCACTAGAGCATCCAACTGCTGCTTAATGAAATGATAAGTTTTGGGTAGTTTACGAATAAATGTATTTCTGGATAGTGAATCGAAGCCAAACATGAGCACGTTCAATTTCAGACCAGTTTGCGGTACATTGGCCCAATTATGCTGCTTTCTGACACGTGGGTCGTGTTTTACCCCAGCGAGCATACTATGCCACCTAAACATATTTATTATCAGCAAAATGACTAAGGAAACGTATGTATAATATAAGCAAATTAACTAACACATCTCCTCTTTTTGACTTGCATCTAACTTCAGCAAAATCACTGTTTTCAAGAGTGTAGAAATCATCAGCCTCTATACCCTCCAGTAGTTTTGTATTATAATCGTCTGTTCTGATAATCTCTGAAACAACAGAGTAATATTCAACAATGTAGTAATAGTTAAAAATGATATCAAGTAATGCAGATATTATTATAACATACCACTAAAGATACATGTTATTTGTCCATACTTTGTTTGTGCTTTATCAGTAATAACAAGTCTTGAACCTTCTACAGTAACCCAATCTTCTGATCCACATGATAGAGACGGTACATCATGTATGAACTTCATTATTTCTGGACTAGACACATTTAATTGAGGTAACTTGCAGGCAACGACACCTTCCCTGTAGAAATATATTGAGAACAAGTGAAAAATAAGCTTAAATAATAACAAGTAATAATAATAACATATAAACAATAGTAACAATAATAACAAGTAACAAACATAGTAGTCCATGAATTAATAAATTTCAAAATATTAATGGGAGTTGTGATATTTTAATATTACTATACTGCTCTTGATAATAATAAAACAAGCATTATACTGCGTACATACCCTGCATAAGGCTGTTCTGACTCTTTGATTAATTGTGATATGTGCATCCTAAAATTGACAAAAGTTGTCAAGTATAAAATATGTCAAATTGATATTAGAGAAAATATTGAAAGACCACTCACAATTTCTCTAGGTTTGTAAGATCAGAATCATTAAATCCTATCTCTATTCTTATTATTTGAATGATGCAAAATAACAGCGCTATTGACAGTACTGCTATAATGCACCGACGAAAGTGACATGATGCAACCCTCATGTTTATTTAATTTATTCCTATAAAAAAAAATGTTATGTAAGTTTAATATTAAGTTACATTTAATTGAAAATATATAAATATATGTACACAAATTAAAAGAGTATTTGTTCTGATATTATCATGTTTATACAATGAATATATAATAATTTATTATATTCATTACAAGATATATACTAACCTTCCAATGCATGGACTTTTATGTCTCAAATCACTTATTTAAAAATATGTATATATAATTTTTTTCAATTTTGTTCTTTCTCTCTAAAATAATAAATGGAGAATATTTTAAATGTCAAATTGCATCAATATAGAGCGCATGGCTTATTATATTGATCTCATTTGTTTATTAAAAATAGTAAAACATACAGTAGAGTTAATTCATTAGTTTTACAAAACAAGCTTATTTGAAATTATTTAGAAATATTTTTCTTACATATTTAGACATACGATGATAATTTATGAAAGGTGAATCTAGTTTCAATAAATATAATTGACTTATGTTGTATGAAGCATGGCATGTTATAATACATGTATTGCTTTTTAACTTATCACAATGTGGATGATAATGTTTGACATAAAGCTGGTACATATAACGTAGCAAATATCACTGTTACAAATATTGAGAATATTTTTCTTCTGATAACGCTAAGCCATCATGCAAGTATTATCTATGTTTGCACTGAAAGTATAATAAAGAAGTCTTATCAAAATATTTTTCATTCATAAGAGCAAAGAATATAATTTGTTCAAATAATCATTGGAAGGCATTTAATTAAATCTTGAATTATTGAAAGAAAAATTTTGTAATTCTACTGAAGATATCGTATACACAGACAAAATACTGATTTAACAAGAGGCATAAATTAAATAAGAGACATAACTTAAGAAAACGTTCTCTGCATAAACATGATTTCAAAGACAAATGGAACTTTTCTACTAGTTAATTGCAGTACTGCTATTATTCCGTTGCGAGATTTAATTGAAAATGATTGATGAACGATCGTGTACGTACATATACACGTATACACAGTACATACGTATTATGATCCTGTTTCGCGATGTTGGGCACAGAAATTTTTCCGGAATAATGCTACATCACTCGTGAATAAAATATATTGAACAAGCGTATCTCGATTTGTTCGAATCGATACCGGATCAACCTCATAGTTGCGAAAATTTCGACGAAATTATGTGACGATCAGCACTTCACATCACTCTCTTCGACGATTCGTTTCGATGTACTCAATACCTGCGACGAATACAATGTTTCCCCGCTAGCGTGCTGTTTCCATTGAAAACCGAAGGCATTTCACCCCGGTAGCACGTCGCTAAGCTCGCTTGGCACGCGCACGCACGCACGTATGTACGTACGACTCGTTTATTCATTCGCTCGCTCGCCGTTCGTTCCACTGGCGTACTTTTTCATCCACCCACCACGCATGCACGCGCGCATCTTCCTTTCGCCGTGGGATTACGTCGCTATACTATCTATGATTTATTGTTATGCAAACGTGCATGTATGTATGTACTTGCGATTTGGCGACAATAGGTTTGTTCTTTTTCGAAGAATCTCTGAACTAGTGCAATAAGTTGGAGTGAAACAGATACATTTTCCTTCATTCTAATTTATTGCACTAATGTGCACCAGAGTTCAAAGTTTTTCGAAAAGAAATAATTCCAATATACAGGGTGATCCGAAATCCCCGCATTCGGAGTACATGATATTTTATGCTAAAACGAACAATTTTTTCCTTCAGCAAAATTGTGTCCAACAGAAGTAGTTTTTGCAGAAGAACGTATTAAAGTTAACGAATAAGTATTCTTATCTATGCAGCGCATAGATAAGAATACTTATTACATTATTTAACGCTCAGAGCCGGCTCACGCGCCTCACTCACGTGTATCTAGTCAGTGAGTATTCATAAGTAATATCTTTTAAGATGCTTATGCGGCTTATACGGCTCTGTTGTGATTGACGACATCTTAAGATTGTATTTAAGACAATTTTAAATAATAAGAATCAACTATAAACAATACCGGGATTTCACAATTCGCAAAGCATATTGCTATTTACATTTGTTTTTATTTTCAGATGATGTTGTACACTCAGACAATTTTTTATTCATTTATTACGTAAGAAATAAAGGCAGTACTTATTTTATTAACTTTTCATTATTTAAGCAATACAATATGGGAGAAGGTCAAAATCCCACTATTGTTCATAGTTGATTCTTATTATTTAAGATTGTCTTAAGTACAGTTTTACGAAGTCATAAACTAATCACAACAGAGCCGAATGAACGTCTTAAAAGGCATTATTTATGAATATTAGTCACTAATTAGGTACACGCGAGTGAGGCGCGCGTGCCGGCCCTGAGCGCCACATAGGTAAGAGCACTTATTCGTTAACTTTAACACGTTCTTCTACAAAAACTACTTGTTGGACGCAATTTTGCTAAAGGAAAAAGTTTATTTTAGTATAAAGTATCATGTCCTGTACTCCGAATGAGGGGATTTCGGATCACCCTGTATATATACCATATATATATACGTATATATTTGTGCGAAATTTTCGTAGCTATTCGTGATCGAAATCGTGGTCGGTAATGTCAACACTCTTCATTTATCCCTCTGGATATGCTACTGGCAATCGCGGCAACTTTAGTTCACTTTAACCAAAAATGACAGTTTGGTCGGCGTCTCAGCCAGAACAGAAAATCATGATGACATCAAAATGACGTCAAAATGATGAAGAAAACTCAGTTTTGCATCACGATTCGGTCATTTTCTCGTCGTTTTGATGCATCATGATTTTTAGTTCTATTTGGGGCGTTGGGTCGTAAGCAAAGAATAATGTTTTGTTAAAGGAAGAGAAGTAATTAGGTAGTGATTTCATTTTAAAAACAGTTGTACCGCTTGTATATAAGGTGTTTCCTTTCAAAACGAGAGAATTTTCATTTAAAATTCCGAATGATTTAACAAGTCTGACTTTCCGTCTGAGTTTACAAGTAATTGGAATATGTAAGGTTATGTATACATTGTCAATGTGACGGTATACTGAGTGCGATTTTTATCTCTTAAACATCTTAGATAAAAAAATCAATAGCACGATTCGCTGATAACGGATTTCTGATTCACCCGACGCTTATTCCATTAAAAGCGTGTTTTGTCGAATTTTCAAGATTTTATATATTTTTCAGTATCTTCTCATAGGATATAAGAGCTGATATATGTGTATATATGAGTATGTTTTTATATACATTTCTCCTTTAATTCAGGCTTTAACTCATAAATATTTCCCACAAAATTTCGCAAGAAGAAGGAAAATTTCACGATACAATTGACAAATGTCATATATTTATATTATTTTAAAATCAAATTACTTTCTCCTGATTGCCACAAGCTTACCTCTGTGAAGTGGTTAAACAATAGTGCGGATTTATGTGCACATGTGTACTTTTATAGAGAAAGGTAGAATTATTATCCAATGTGAAGGTAGACGCGAGACTTATCAACATGTCCGCTCCGACTGATCGATCCACAGGAATAAATCGATCAGTACCGCGCTAGCTCTCGTACCGATTGGTTCTTCCACTATCTTTTGTTTGTAATAGATTACGTGCCTTATCATCCACATGTGTCATCGAACATTCGTAGCAAGTAACGTATTGGATCGAACCGGTATTGCAATCTACGTTTTTATTTAATTCAGTTTTGACGGAATTAATTGACGCATAATTTCTCAACGGGCACGGTAGAAAGTTTATATGTTAACGTATTGTGTGCACATAAATGGTATTATGCACATAATTGGTATTATATTTAGAATGGAAATATATCGACGGATCAGGGAGAAAAATTCACTTTAGTCTAGTATAAAATATATATTACAAATATGACTTATACATCACAGAGGAAGAGGGAAATTAGAGAACACTACAATTGTCATTTGCCGCTCGATTTCTCGCGTTGTTCTTCCTTACGCGCAATACTTCAGTATTGCAAATCATTGGCCGTCATAATTAATTGCGGTAGGTCGAGGTTCAAGTTCGTTACACGTACATTGTGTGTTTTATGCGAAGTTAGCGTCACGGTACACAATTTTTTATTCCTTTTCTGGCATACTGGAAGCAACTCGATTTACTACATAAATTTTCTAAAAAATGTACAGTAATAATTTATGAGTTGATCTTCTTACAGTGTGCCGACCAACATGCGTGTTAAAATGCATGAAATCGTGCATTTTTTTTACTAGCTTGATACATCTTATCTCAAGTTCAATATATATTGTAGTTTTTCAAGTACACTTGTATTTTATTTTATTGTCCATGTGATAAAGTAAATATCCCAATTAGTGTCAATGTTCCACTATAAATAAATACATTATAATTAATGTATTTAGTTATTAATTATTTAATAATATATTTAATTATTAATATATTAATTATATTACAAATAAAAATATTATAAATAAATTGAAATATTTTCATAAATTAAAAAAATATAATACAATTAAAAAACTTAACATAAATATATAATACAATTAAAAAATATAACACAATTAAAACTACAAATGTTCTTTTCAACGAAGCTTTCCAACGAAATCAATATTTTGGAGACTAAACTTAATACGTATATTATTAATTTATTAATTTATTTTCATAATGAGAATACTTGGTTACTGAATGGGACATTTACTTTAGAACATCATGTGGAGGGTCAAAATGCTAAAAATTTTTTTCAATAATTCTGTAATTGTATGGATTCCCCTTGAAGTTGATCACCATTCTGCCGGTCAGAATCCGAGGAATCGAGATTTCTGCGAACAATAGTTCTTTCAGTGTGTCTCTTACTTTTCCGTATGTGTCTTCCGCGACGTGTCTGGAAACAATTCGTTAATTTCCCCGTTTAATCTTTACCGAGAATACAGAAGAGAGAATTTGATCACCAACGTTTTACGCCGCGTATTTATTTTATATCATTTATATTATTGTTTTATTATAACTATTACTATTATCCATTACTATTACTATTACTCATTGTTACTGTAATGATATAAACAACAATTCACATAGAAAAGATAAAAAGAAATTGCAATATGCTACCTCGAACTCATAGCTGTAGTCGCTACAATCATCAGATTGAGGAAATTCTTCGTTCTTCCGAAGAATCTTCATCGGGCTATAGGTGGTATATGTCATCAATAAATAATCGGGTATCAAGCAAATAACGATGACGATTAGAGTGATTAACCAGAAGGAGGGTGACATTATTAACTTTTGGTAGACCCCCAGCATGTCGCCGTCGTATCTCCTGAAAAGAGACTAGTATGATTGCGAAAGAGGTAATCACGAACATTGCATTTACTTTTGTAGATGAAACTTAATATCTCAAACAATTGTTGTAGATTTGCCGATATTGCAAAATGTCCGCTTACTTTTTTATGTATGAGTAACTAAGCGCGAAACAGAAGAATGCTATTTCGGACGATATTACGCTTAGCACAAAATAGAAGGTCCAGTATGAGCTACGTAGCAATATCTGAAATTCCGATTAAAAAAGATTATATATAATTATATAAAATTATATATCATTATGTAGGGCATATTTAAACTTGATATCACAGGACAGATTCTACGTAAAAAGAAATAAATAAAACAATTTCAGTAAATATATGTAGCTGTCGCAGCCAATAGCAGTTAAAGACATATATATATATATTTATTTAAATAAATAATATACGCACCTGCATATTCGTTATCAAAACGACTAGATGAAAAATGATCGTGCTGAAAGCCCATTGTCCAACCGTAGTATTGTCATATAAATATGCGGGATTGGTGTACGTGAGATAATATATCATAAAATACGTCACGCATGTATGCCATAAACCTGAAAGCAATAACGACGGTACGAAGTCAGTATTCGTTGTTAACATTTTTTATTATTTACGTTGCAATATTTTTATGAAGACTTGCTGAACTCTCTTCGAGTACGCACTCAGACACATCCATATCATGAACTGTTGTCTTGACAGTAAATAATTCTTTCTATATAGCTTGTACAAATACGGTTGTTGTATGAGCTTCTTCGCGTTGTAGCTTTGCTCCAATAATCCGTACACCAGCACCGGAAGTGACGTGAATATCATGTTGAAAAACATGAAGAACATACCGTCGTAAAGTTCCTATAAAAATTCACAAAAACCATGAGGGCCAAAAGTCACCAAAAACTCGAAATTGACGATATAACGATACTGGCTCGATTTTTTTCTTATGTACAGAAAAAATTTCAATTTGTTAAAGTAACTGAGTAGGGACAAGTAGGAACTGAATAACGAGAGGAATGGCATCTCTCTGTTGCCGCAATTAAAAACAAAAAAATTGAACATTTAACTGTAATGAATTCTGAAGGTAACAAGCTCGTGTTTGAATAACGCCGCACATCTACTGGACGTATATTAGCGAAGTATTGATATTTAATATTTATTAAATCGTTGAATTAATTTATCTCTACTGCGAGATTACTTGTTTATTAATTGGGACGCTCATTTCACAGGAATCTTTCTATTCTTTCCGGGCAACGAAAAATTCAGTTACACACTAACAGACTTGTTTTTTTCGTGTAGGATGTCACTCTTACTTGCGTGGAAAATCCGTTGTGCAGGCCGAACAGCACCTGCGGCGTGATGAAGACAAAGTTTTTGTAGAAGAAATATTGCGTCAAGATACTGATGCGCTGGTAATACCAGTGGCCGTGCACCAGCAACGCCTTCTTCAGGAACATAAATTTCGAGAACGCGAAGTCGGCCGACATGGAAGCCTGGCGACCTTCTCTTCCCAATATCCCGATTCCCACGTGAGCTTCTTGTATCATCGATACGTCGTTACCGCCGTCGCCGATGGCCGCGGTATGTGGACGACCCTTTGCGTTTTTTATCAGGTGCACAATCTGTACAGGTCAGTCATGTTTCATAAGTTCAATCGGTCGTTCTTTGTTCTCTTTTTGCAGAAGGCTCTTATACGGAGAGAATTTTGTGATAAAAATTACTGCAGAATTTTTTAACCGTGGGACATATCGACGTTTCGCCGTATTATCCTTCCATTTTTCCTGTGTGCCATTTATATTTTGAGAACTGAAATTTGTTATTAAATAATTGCTGTTGCTTTTTAGCAAGATAAACTCTACTAACGATCTATTCGTGCATTAAAAAAAAAATGGCAAAATTGAAAACGTGATTATACATAAAAAAAACTACATACGTAACATTCTTTCCGTATATAGAACACTTGTCTCGCAGGCAGAATAAATACTTAAATATTGCCAATTAACATTAACATGGTATTAGTCAAATTATACGGACAAACACAAATATCGGCGTTTCGTCAACGTTCAAGCGGAATGCATGCGAAGATATAAGCAAAGGAAACGCGAGACTCGATTTTGCGAATATTATATATATAAGATATATTATATATATATATAAGAGTCTAATATATGTGAATATGCGATGTAATGTTAAACACAAACAGTGGCTTCGTCGTGCATATTGAAATAATCGTTATTGACATCACAGACTAACCGTGTAAAGTAAATTAGTGCCGTATAATTTATATTAAGATACTCAAGAAATAGTAATTATATATTTTTATATTTGAATTAATACATAATTAATAATTACACATATCTACACTAAGAAAATATCATATAAAGATAATTATAGCTTGTGGCAGCCAGTAATGTTGACGTTTAATTAGGTGAAAATGTTCTTTTATTTTTTTATTCAACAGCGCCTCTTTCTCCGCATGGACGTGTATGATTATATATAATTATACATGTGGCTATATATATATATACATATATATATATATAAAATTCATATATATATAGGTTATGTATATATAATCATATATAATTATATAATTAGACATAGTTATATATAAATGTATAATTTACATACAATTATATCTAATTTTCTTTTTACTCGGGCGTCTTTTCAGCATTCGCATTTCCTTTACTCCATTCAAAACGTTCTAATAAAACTCACATCATCATCGTGACACGTGAACATAGTAACGATGTGAGAATATATATTTTCTTTCTTCTTTACCTCGCTCTTTTGTAAAGGCGTTAGCCTGCAACAAACTACAGCTTCGCAAGCCATTCCCACGGTTTTCAATAATTCCGGGCAATTTTGCATTGTCATTGTCATGCTCGTACCATCTATTATCAATCCATATTGCTTATGCGGTTCCAGTTTCACTTTCCGTCTGTACAAAATGGAGAGACGAGGTACGTTAGAGAATAATACAATTAATAGTTGACAGAAGTAGTTGTCGAAAGAAAGAAATAACAGCTGACGAGTACATAAGTCGCACTTACTCGAACACTGTCAAAGTCACGAAGCAGGTTTGTCCCGAAGTCTCTCCCATCAGCCGTAAAACCTCAGTACCTTTTTTAAAATGACCGCAAAGAAAAGCGATGTTCTCCGCGGTTTCTCCTTTATCCCCGGTGAGCATCCATACCTAAACGACACGTTCACGTTAAAAAAATCATCACGTGATATTAATCTTTTGAGAGAGAGAGAGAGAGAGAGAGAGAGAGAGTCTCGGTTTTTGGAAATTTAGTATTATTTTAATAGAGAGTGTTTAGAGCACGAACGAACTAAAAATTTTTATTATGAGAAATTAAAAAATTAACGAAGTCAATTTTTTTACAATCATTCATGATTAGGAGGGAGCAATATTAATCGGAGAAAAATGATTTTGACGTAAAAGTTGAAAGAAAAGGTACAAAAAATTATACATTTCGGAGGAAAATATTACTGACTTCCAAGATAAGAATTAACTGAATAGTTTCAGAAACATTTTATTGAGCGCGATGTAAATAGCCCGATCAAAATATTCTTATTTTTAGAGATACATATTGTGTGTACCTTTAAGGACTCGCCGGTTAAGAACTCAAAAGATTAATTCGGTTAGTCGAGTCGAGTCGCCGGTGCTCTCGATCGTATTATTACGTTTTTCATTTCTTTCAATGTTTGTACGATAAACTAACTTTAATTCCAGCGACTCGCAAGCACTCCAAGGTTTCCTGCACGTCGTCTTGCAGGCGATCCTCCACCGCGGTTACTCCGAGCAGAGTGAGTCCGTTCTCTATATGATTATATGCGCGTGTTATATGAGTCGCTCTGTCGCTACCAATCATCTGCCGGGCTTGTTCGATGTCTCGTAACAGTTGTTCGTACTCGAGCTGATCCATTTTCTTGCATGCGACTACGAGCGTTCGTAAGCCTCTCTGAAAATTGCAAAACTCGACAAGTCCCGCGACATGAAACATATCGCGTGGCACAGTATGAGATTTATCCAATCAGGCGAGACAAAAATATTCTAATTGGTATTGACTGCTCGAATATTTGGACATTAACCCTCGGTGTACCTCCGTCATCAAGTTCAATTTTAGTTTTCAAGTTTCGCTTTTGAATCTTTCTATTTTCTGAGAAGACCGATATATTTTATGACCCTTGTTCCATCTTAGAATATTTTACTTTTCGCTATATGTAATAACGAAGAGAACACTTACTTATTTTTCTTAAATATGAAATAAATTAATTACTCGGCCTAATTAACATATCAAGATTTTCTTGAAATTTGAGTTCGAAATATTTGTAAGAGAATTGACATTTCGTGACTTTTATTTTTCCTTCCGCGCAAACAACAAAGAAAAAAAATTTCTTTTTTTCTCAAACAGAATAAATCAATTATCGAACTTGATTTAATTGATTCATTTAATTAACATGGAACGGCGGGGAATACCGAGAGTTAAGACGAAGAAGAAACAGACCGAATAATTTTGTTCGGCACCCAGATCTCGGAGCAATCTCGCGCACTGTTCAGTTGAATATCGATCGACTCGCTTATTGTCACTGTGATTTGCGGTATTATCAATCTCGCTGGCGAGAGATAACAACGAACCATAGAGAAATCGGCAACATGAGCGGCCGCTTCTTGGACTTTCCCACTAACGATCAACGGAAAAACGGCCGAATCCGCACCCTTGCAGTACAGCCAGTGATCGCCCGTTTCGTCTTTCACTATTACCGACATTCTCTTTCGTTCTGTTCAATATATACATACATGCATGTATAATACATAATTGACATCCCGATCGATTACGCCGATGTCCGGCCGCGACCACGTACCAGAGCTGAACTCCAGTATTTCCAGCTTCTTGAAGACCGACGCTATGCCGTTAACCTTCACCTCCATTTCATCGTTGGTGTCCTTTTGAAAAATCACGCCACACCTGGCACTTGCCTCCACCAACGCCTTCTCGTCCGCCGATGCCGCCTGCCATATGTCATACGTTTGTACATTCTTTTATGCGATCTCAATTGAGCGCATTCATGCCCGCGCTACGGGAACGGGAATCGTTAGCGTATGCGCGCCAATTGGATGGCTATTTTTACCTGATACTCCGGCAAGTCCGGATGCATCATCAGCGAGCTGTTAACTCGGGTGACTTTCTTCAATCTGAAGCTCTCGCGGAACAATGTGCGCCTGGCCACGACCACTGGACGTTGACTCGGCGGTGCGATATGCACCACGTGGCACAGGGAGATGCTGATCATGAAGTGCCAAATCTCCGCCTGCGATCATCGTGGTGCGATTTTCATCAGGATCGAGTGTGAGCGAGGATAACATTGAGATGTCCATCTTCTACATTTTTTCGAACGAGATTGAGGCGCTCGAATTCGAGCGATTCTTCCTCACTCGCGCAGAGAATGAACTTCTTTGTTAATTTTCAGAGAATTAAATCGCGGCAGAGAATTGAATTGCGGCGGTCGCTCTACTTTTCGAATGAAGACCGAGAGATTTAGAGGGTCCGCCTTCGGGTTGCAGATTTACCTGCCACGACGTCACTTTCACAGCTTCTTCCTCGTTTCCGCTTAGCGGTAGTAGGTAAAGATTCCCGTCGCAATCTTTCTCCATGTATACATTCCCGTCGATCGAACAGCGCCTGAACACCATCAGATTTTCAGTGAGCGTGCCAGTCTTATCGGTAAACAAATACTCAACCTGGCCGAGCTCCTCGTTCAAGTCTGACGTGTTGGCGAGTGCTGGCTGATCTTTGTCTTTATCATACATGTCCAAGTCCCAGCCAAAAAAAAAGGAGCCGAGGAATTTCTGTAATTCTAAAGGGGGTCGTGAATTTCGTCGTTGATGCGATGATACGCTTGTGAAATTTTCCAATTATCGAATCAACAGCAAGAAAACACCCAATAAGAGTCAACGCAAGATCTTAGTCGCGGCATGCATTCAATCGCGAAAATGAAGTAAACAATGAAGAATGGAGTCACGAAAATAAAAGGAAAGAAGAAATTCACAGACAGACTTTTACAAGAGTTATCCGGATGTTTAAATTATTCCGACCCTTTTTGACGGATAAAAGACTAAAGATAATAAATTACACTAGACATTTTTTATTCCCTTTTTCGTCTTTTATTTTAATTTATATTCGTAATCGAGTGGGTTTAGTGACTGACATTTTGGGTTGGCACTTATTAGTTTCTATTTTTTGTTGATAGAGCATTAGAGGCTTGATCATTGACTTTTCAAAGTATCGATCGTTCTTTTCTCATTATAAATACAAGTGCATCTTACCGACGGTGACGTACAGTGATATCGGTATGATGTAGTTATATAAAATGGCGAAATTCAAGATATCCATAACCAGAGTGGAGAAGGTAGTTTTGTAGTGCGAGCCTAAGTAAACTTCCCACTTCGAGTAGCTTTCGACGTACAGCTTCAACATAGTTGACAACAGCACTTCGAGCAACAGTAACACGATAAACACGATAAGATATTTATTGATCGACCTGCGAACGCGATAAAGCTCGTTGTAAGTATAAATTCAAATAAATAACTTCTCGAATGAAGATATATCTGAAGATGATTGACGCCATTCGTAGAATGATTGAAGCAGCGGTAACGAAAATGCGAGAGTGAATCTAGCGAAAGCGGAATGATCGTATTTTTACATTTGAAGAATATTGAAGCGACATCACCTTTCGGCAGTCGAGAATTTATTGCTGACGATTTTTGAGTTGAGCGACAATTTCGTGTCCTGTCCGGTGTAGACTGCATAGCCGATTACATATTCCGTGTCTTTTAGTCGCGAGCCGCGAAGCATCAGATTGTCTATCGTCAGGTGTCCATTAGTCATTTCATTGCCATTGTTAATTTCGAGCTTGCCAAAGAACGTGTAGAGATCAGCCAGGGGGTGCTGGCACGTGATTGTTGCTTCAGCAGCCACTATTTGCTCGAGTGACATCTTTGAGACGACTTTCGGGATTAACAATGTCTGAAAAGATCATTGAAAGTATCTGAAATAGTTTTGTAGCGCACAGCGCGTGTTCCAGAATTTGCTATTTCAATTTTACCGACACGTACAATGCATTATCGAAGAATGATTCGCTACTAACATCCTTGCGCGACAGTTATTGACCTAAATTAACACACTGTTAATTGAATATCTGAGAGAGCCTTCATAAAAAAAATTAGTCTCCTCGGAGAAACTTTCTTCTTGGCGTATAAGTTTCATTCTCTCCGGATAGATAAAAGTAATTGCTAGTTATTTTCTCTCTCTCTCTCTCTCTCTCTCTTTCTCTCTCTCTCTCTCTCTCTCTCTCTCTCTTTCCCTCTCTCTCGGCGAATTATCAACGAAGATAATTACCTTCAAATTTGTTTCCCCGTCGAGATTAGATGTCGTGACGTAACAACAGCCCGGCGTCTCGCTATGAAGAAGAAGGATGTCGCACGGCACGTCTTCGTCTCGAGTGACTTTCACGAGGTCCCCTACTACTATCTGCTCGCAATGTATATTCTGCAGGTATTAACGTTAATCAATCGCGGGAAGTTCCATCGCGTGGAAAATCACGTGCGGAATAAGCGCGAGCGATTTCGCACTTTAATGACGCCGCGCGCCCTACGAACCTGCGCACATTTGTTGCGGATAACGGTGACCGATCTTTGATTATCTTGCTGGTCCATTCTGTAGCGCAGGTAATCCTCATATCCCTGCTTGCACGCAGTTACAAGGATGACGAATGCTAAAGGCAAGGCGCTGGTCACCGGCGAAATGGGCGATTCTATCGAGAGCGCGATCACGGTCGTCAGCAGGAAGTAAAAGTTCGCTATCCTTCGGAATTGCTCGAAGAGATTCTTCGGAAGGAAGTTCCATAGTGTGTACTGTGTATTGCGGTAAATATTGCAATATATTCCGATACTATTATAATATTTCTGTTACATTTAAACTAACAAGAGCGCGACATATAGACGATCATTCGATCAACGACGAAAAATCATTGCGTCGGCGGAAAAGACATTTCCGATGGAAATGTGAATTTTTCCCAGCCATTAAATCGATGGAAAAACGCACGATTTGGAATCAACGCACACAAGCCTTACCTTATTTGATACGATCCGGTTGTTAACGAAAGGTATTTCCAGCGGATCGTTCTTAACATTTATTTTCACGACTCTGTGGTCGCCTAATGTCGAAGTGGTAGAGCCCTGTGAACAAAGATACTTGATTATTTACGCTGGTGAATGAAAATATTGAAGAAAATTTCAATGGTAATTAAAGGGATTACGATGCTGCATTGATGGCCGCGAGATGGTCATCAGTTATATATGCGAGATAAGTTTCTCTCCTACTCTCATATTTCGAAGATATTCAAGGTGGTAATTTTGTTGTGAGTTTATTGCTTCACCCCGTACATAATTCATATTTTTAATGCCATAAAAAATACCAAGTATTAAATATATCGTCAAACGTATTAATAATACTAGCATATCGTCAATTATATTATTACAATTATTATTGTAATTGCATTAATATGTATTATTTGATTTTTATATATTATCCGATATTTTCTGACTGATTAATATTATTCTTATCGTTAAATCTATTAATTAAATTACATATATAAAATTTAAAATTACTGTTAATGTTTAGTTAAAAAATTAAAAACTTTTGCACCCCCAACCACAGGAGAGAAGGAGAAACGTGAACTTAGTTTCTAATCCGAAATGATTGCCCGAGATGATAATATCAGTCGAGAATGTAGCCAAATATTTGGACATGACTAAACAGAGTGATACGAAATTAATCACGATTGACCAACGCGATGACGTAAAGTTATAAAATAGAAAGGAAGAAAAAAAATTGTCAGTTCACTCGCGCGATTCGCCCGGCGAGATCAGACTTCGAAAATCGCCCGATTGCTGGATCTTCGCATTGTTTCATGCGTGCGTCGCGCTGTTTCTTGTACTCGTTTGTGGTGTAGCGACTAATGGCGATGTACTGCACGAAAATACAACCTCATCAGGACATTCAACGCATTGTGTCGCGCTTATACCGACAGTTCGTACGCTATTCGTTCTCTAATTTAAGCATCTCGCAAGAGTAGAGAGCGAAACTTTTCTCCGCACAACAGATTCTTTCGCGAAAATCCAGCTCGCCGCAAACACGATGCCGGCGATAAGAAGAGCAATGTGCTTAGTATGACCAACAGCCAGTATTTGGATTACATATACAAGGCATGGCTGAAAGATCCAAGATCCGTGAGCTTCTCATGGGACTCGTATTTCAAGTTGGTCCACGCTGACAACACCAAGGACCTCCGCCAAGCCAAACTTGGTTCGATCCGCGTCAATTTGTCCTCTAATCCGATCCCGTCAAATTTGAAGAAAGGGCAATCGCACAGTAAATGTTTTCCGATTAGTGCGGTTATTACCTAACAGAATGCTTTCGGCTCTGTCTAGTGATAATTTATTTATAAAAAAAATGTTTTCATTCTGTTATCACAATTTTCCAAGCTTTCATGATACAATTTTTTTAATTTTTTTTCCGCTGCTTTCGAAATACTGTTTTTATAACTATATGCTGTATCTCTATTAAAATAGTGTCAAATTTTTAAAATAGAAAGACGTGAGGTTTAAAAAGTTGAAAAAGTTAAAAGTACGGATAACTTGAAAATCAACTAATCTCATGTTTTCGGACTTGAAATGACTCGTAGGGTCGCTGTTTCCGAAAGAACCCGTTCGATCTAAGTCGGACAGTCCAATGCAGGGAGATCAATACATAAACGGCGCACTCGATATCAATGCTACGATTCGAGCTTATCAAGTATATATCCCTCATAAATGTCATGGACAATATTGATTACTTTAGTCTTCAATCTTCGATGATCTGTCGATACTGTTTTCGAATTGAAGATGACGATAAAGAAATGGCTGAACCGTGGTTCGCTCGGCGACTAAAGTTGAAAATATACGCTTGAATCTCGTAGTAAAAACATCTTTCGTAAAGCATTCTCTCGTATGCGGTCAAAGTCCACTCAACAAGTTTGAGTGAAATATTCATTCTCTTGCTCCATCTCGAGTGGCGGCATTTTCACTGTCGCGTCGAACGAATTTTTACTTTTGAGCAAGATTACTTCTCGATAAATTTATAAGGCCACGATTGTGTAGCATGTTAACACTGTCGATCGATGACAAGCTGGGGACGCATCTCGAATCGTGCACGTGTGTGTAGAAGAGACGGACTAAAACGGCTGTTTGTTCGTTCAAGGCACGCGGCCATTTGATAGCCGATACCGATCCGTTGGGCATTCAGAATCCGGAGTCGGCGAAGCTGCAAGGTACCCCAGATCTACCACCCGCCATTGTAGTGCGACAGCATCTCAAGGGTATGACGGAAGCGGATATGAACCGGGAATTCCCGCTCGCGTCCTTCACAGTGATCGGCGGCAAGAAGAGGAGCCTGCCTTTACGGGAAATACTGACGAGACTGAACAAAGTCTACTGCGGCCATCTCGGTCTTGAGTACACGTACATTCACGACCTGAACGTGGTATATATATATATATATATGTATTGAACTATACAACAAACTGAAATGAGCATATCACCATTGTCTCTGCCCGGTGAGTTCGAGCCGAGAGAGATAATCCTAAGTAGGATCTCTATTCTTCATGTTATATATCAACAAAAAATAGAACTATATGGGTATTAAAAAAATAAAGTTCAGGACTTTAAAGGCAGTACTGACAAGATGGGAGAAAAAAGTCCTAATAAAGATGGGTCGAAAAATCAATATTGTCGGACTTATGAACAATTATTTATTTTAATTAAAACAATAACTTAATGATTTTTCACTGTGAAATAAATAATTGTTCATAACATATTAATTTTTTGACTCATGTTTATTCAGGGCTCTTTTCTTTCACTTTGTTATATAGTATTACTTGTCCTTAAAATCCTGAATCCTTTGTTTAGATACTCTATATGTAGGACGTTAGGAAATTGAAAATTGAATCTGGACAGGCCTCTGAAAAAAGTCTGGAAATGTAATACGTTAAAATATAATTTTTGTAAAATTTATCAATGTTTAATGTGCTAATCTCGGTTCGATTTCTACTAAGTGGTTTTCAGTGTTCATTTCAGTTTCTTAGTTGATAATTCAATAATGATAACGCGCGTCTCTTTGTCCGCATTTCTTCCTTTGATTTTTGTACACGCGGGATTCGTTTTCCTAGGAATAATAACGCAAACTTTGTCACCGAGTTTTACAGTTGGACGCAAATAGCGATACTTCGCGATGATAAGCAATACGCGAGCGGATTTTAATCGATACACGCAGATTAAGTTGCGAGATTAGTTATTGTCACGCGCGTTCCATCACTCGAGCGAGCAATTAACCGAAGCGAGTTTGCAAATCCGAGTTTCTTCTCGCCGGCAGTATTATCAATAACTAATGGAATAGAGAACACACATGTTATTGATCGATTCATGTTTGGCAGACGTCGAGATATCATGTTTAATTCGCTTTTCGCTATCTTATCGGGTCTTATCTCGTAGCGATGGAAAAAGTTAATGTCTATTATTTTGTATCAAATTATATATTATTGTTTATCAAAATCTTTTTGCCACGAAACATATAAACGGTAATTCGCAACAAGTTATAAGTTTCTTTGTTTCAGTAACGTATTGATAGCGATTTTATTTTATTTTCTTTTTATCAGTGAAGATAAGACGATAACGCAATTGCATGTTCGGTTAACGGTATTGATCATAATTCTTACGTTACTTTCGTCGTTTATTTTGCATCTAAAGAAAGAACAGAAACGAATCCTATGAGAAAAGCAAAAGAACTCGGTGGGAAAAGTAGCGGAAATTGTGAGACGGTTCGTTACTTCTTGAATACCGTTTTCTCTCTTTCTAACGAGCTAATTTGCGGCTTCTTTCGAAATTTACTTCCCCAATCCAGACGATAATTGTCTGAAGGCTCGTGCTGATCATTGCCGATGCATCTTCCAATTTTTACGTCACGGTACATGAAGGATGTCTACGTTGTAAACCCGCGGGACACACACCGATTATATTTTTCACCAGCTAGATTGGCTGAGGGATAAGTTTGAAGTACCGGGCGTCTGGGAATTACCGGCGGAATATCGGAAGTGGATCTGGATGAATATCATGAGGGCTGTGAGTTTTGAGAATTTCCTCGCGAGGAAGTACGGCACGGAAAAGAGATTCGGACTAGAAGGTTGCGAATCGTTCATACCGGCCATTGCGGAATGCATGGAGACATCCGCGGAAAATGGTAAACGACAGAGAATTATATTTCCCGAGTCGAAATTTTGCTCCTGTATTAACCTTGCAAATTTCGTCGACCTTGGATGAGTAAATTGGGAATCTCGAAATATTGTACGGATTATTATATGTATGTTCTACCTTGACGCTGCAAATAACGATTTATCAATCGGCTGTGCGAATATTGTACGTAACAAAAGTAGATACAGATTGACGAACAATCGGGGAGATTTATGATCGGGGCGATTTGTTAAATTATAGCAGACTCCAAATGTCGGCGTAAATTTCGACTCCGGCTGAGTCTTAGAGCGAAGTATCGATGGGGTGAGAAGTCTATCAACGGCGACTTCGAGCTCATTTATCCTTTCTAGGTTCTTATTGAGTCGATACAATTATTTTCACGCTGCACAAGGATACGGAATAATTAAGTTTGCTCGGAGATAATCTTTTTCGCAATCTCATAATTTTTAATGTCAAATGTCCAATTCTAATGATTAGACATCCACGGTTCAGAGTTAACGGAAAAACCTCAAATGAGAAAGAGATTTCTCGTTAAACTCTTATGAATGGTATATTTATTAGGGGTGGAATCTATAGTTATCGGCATGGCACATCGTGGTCGTTTGAATACCTTGGTGAACATATGCTCGAAACCGTTGGCTCAATTGTTAACTCAGTTCAATCCGATTGCCTTAGAAGGATTCGGTTCTGGTGACGTGAAGTATCATCTCGGCACGCACTCGGAAAAGCTCTTGGAAAGGTGAAGAGGATTCTCGATATTAAAGTTTCTAACGATATTATTCGACATTTAATTGCGATCTCAATCATTCTAATTTTCTATATTACGTTTAAGACGAAATTGTATGTACAAGGCAGAGAGAGAGAGAGAGAGAGAGAGAGAGAGAGAGAGAGAAGAGAGAGAGAGAGAGAGAGAGAGGGAGGGAGGGAGGGAGGGAGGGAGGGGGAGAGAGAGAGAGAGAGAGAGAGAGAGAGAGAGAGAGCGAGAGAAAGAAAGATATCGTTATTCCTTGCGCAGGTTTTGATAGTGCAATAATAAATTTATTTATTATTCCGTATTGTAGCAGGCATATATATAATAAGTTTTTATAATAAATTTATTATGGGTACAAATTAAAAAAAAATCTAGTCAATTTACTTTAAATAAAATTACTAAATTCTTAAATGAATAAGTTCATCTTAACATATTTGTGATAAATTTATCTTATTATCGCACTGCAAAACTCACGCGCACGCTCTGATTGGTTCTTATAAATTTGACTGATTGTTAACCAGGAGAATTTTAATTTCTGTCCTTCGATATTCCGCCAACTTGATTTATTAACGACAACTTTCAGAAGTAAGAAAAAAATGCTTCTCGCCGTAATGGCGAATTCTTCTCATTTAGAAGCGATCGATCCGGTCATAGTCGGCCGTGTTCGCGCTGAACAAGTCGAAAAGGGTGATTCCAAGTGTATGTATTGGCGCGGTAACAGATAATAATCCGTTAATATAAAGGAAGGCTATAACAATCCGTTCTCATGTAAAACCGTATCTTCAGATGGCAAAAAGTCATTGGCGGTGTTGGTTCACGGTGACGCCGCCTTCGCCGGCCAAGGTGTTGTTTACGAAACGATGCACCTCACGAATCTACCGGAATATACGACGGGTGGCGTTTTACACATCGTGATTAATAATCAAGTAAACATTGAATCGTGCTTTAAATCAAATACAGTGCAAAGCGATATATTCGCTGGTTAACACGTTGAATCATGCTGATTTCTGTTGACCTCAACACAATGACAAGTTTTCGTTGTGTTGGAGTGATCAAATTCAATAGTTAAGTTCAATTCAACATTTCACTTGTTCGCCAAACAAACAACGACACAAATATTATGTACGCAACAATACTGTATTAGCACTAAATTTATAACAATTTGACAACATCTGAGCGGTCAACGTGTCATTCTCTGTAACTTATATACGAGTAATTAAGATCCATTCTCCATTTCTTATCACTAATGCCACACCTTATTATCAACAAAAATCATAGTGATATTGATGATACCGATCTTTAGCACGCAATCGGTATCGATAGTCTCATGTGCACTTACATGCACGTATCTAATCAGCCTTGTGCTAATATTAAATCGTGTGAAACAATTATTGGCATAGAACGAATGTCTCAATTAGTAACGACGAGTAATTTTATTGTGAAGATAAATTAATATATTAATAATACTAATATACATGCTATAGGCTAAATGCACAAGGTTGATTTTGTTGGAAAATTTGAACATTTGGAGCTTTACAATTGTATTGTACTTTTCTAATGTGCGCATGGAAACATTTTAATTAATATATTTTCTCAACTGAAATGACTGAAGTACCTAATATTTAATGGCATGACAGTTCAGTTTTGTTTTTAAGAAAAGTTAACAAATAACTTCGCAGAGAGCGAACGAATCATCCGATATTGACTGTCAGCTTCTGAAATGTAAATAACTGTTTGAATCGTCATCGTCAGCGGTACGCTCGTAATTATGTTCCAGCATTTATTGTAATCTTTTAATCTTACTCGAAACTTATAATCGATAAATACATGAAATTCAGGATCAAATATACATTTAGGATAAATATCGGCTCATATTAGCTGATTTATTAAGGTAAACAGGTTCAATTCTTACAAAAAAAAGAATTTCGGGGCTTACATGTCAAAATTGTAATATTCAGCAAAACAGTTCTTCTCAAATATTCATCTGCTCATGACTTTAGATTGGCTTCACGACCGACCCGAGGTATTTACGATCCAGTGCACATTGCACGGATGTGGCGCGTGTCGTTAACGCCCCTATATTCCATGTGCACGCCGATGATCCCGATTTGGTGACTTACTGCAGCAAAGTGGCCGGCGAGTACCGGTAAATCATGATGAAAGATAAAGATCAAGATAGCACACGTGCAATATTCAACTCGTATAATCTCGATCTATCGGCTCTCTTGTGGTACTCGTGATGATTTTATCTTACTTGGGACTCGCGGTATTAATATCGACATTGAAGAACTTCTATGAGTTTTATTCAAAGATACAAGTGGACGGATAAGATCTGTCCTGGAATTAATTTCAAGTGCTGTCTATCTCTTCTCTGGAAAAAAAAATATTTCTCGCAAAGATCTATGCGCTATTTTTATTCGAGGATTAAATAAATATCTAGTCTGCTCTGCTTTTCTTTTTTATACAGAACTAGTACTTGCTATGAAAATCCGTTGACTTCACACAAAAGATCATTTTTTCACATAATATCAGAGCCACCTTCCACAACGACGTAGTAGTGGACATCGTTGGATACCGAAGGAACGGCCACAACGAGATGGACGAGCCGATGATCACTCAACCGCTTATGTATAAACGTATAAAAAGCCATCCAAGCGTTCTTTCGATTTACAGTGATAAGCTTATCAAGGAAGACGTGATAACGGAGGCTTTCGTCAAAGAGGTTGACAAAATATTTTGATAACGATTGGTAACTTAATCTTTCCTCCGCGACTGTGTACCCAAAGGAAAATCTATTGTTATCTATTAAGATCCAAAAGTTTCCGTTTGAAAAATATAAGAAAGATGACAAAATATAAAATAAAATCATTTTTATATTTTCGTATAATCACCCTTTATTTTAATACATGTTTTACAACGATAAATTAATTTTTCTACATCACAAAAGAATATTTTTAAATTTTCTACTTAAAATTATTTCTTTGTCATTCGTACTTTTTTCCACATTAATAGAATTTCAATCTTGAAAATTAAATTAAAATTGAAGTGCGGTTTGCGTGGTTGGTTACCAATGATGAAGAAGCGACCTCTGCAGCGTTAATTCATCTTAGGGACAAAAGATTAAATATTTTTTAGTGATAAATTAATTCATCTCTCTAAAGAATGTATTGGAATAAAGGGCGATTATATTTCAAAGTAAGAATGTTACGTTACGTTTGTTTCATTTTATGTTACCTTTTTTTTTCATATTTTTGGCAATTTTTGGGCTTTATTACATATGTTGTTATTTTCGGTTGCGCAGGAAATAAGCAAGTATTTGAGTCATTGCGATGAGGAGTTTAAAAAAGCTCAGACCATCAGCTCCATGCAAATGAGCGACTGGCATGATGTACCCTGGACCGACTTCTTCTCGAGTCAGAGTCCGAAGAATAATGTACCGCCGACCGGTATCGACACGGCGACCATCAAAGCGATATGCAAGGCTATATCCACTCCTCCCAAAGAGATCGAAGCGCACGTTCAAGTTAGTCGCGAAATGTGTACAAATATCGCCAACGATATTTATGTGCTGTCATCCGTACTCAACATTTTCCTGAATACTCAATAAAATCATTGTCAATTAAGTGAAATCTCAGCTGCGAATGGCTGGACCGGCCCTTACGGGTACTTATTCGTTGCCTATGTCGTGCAGATACGGATGACGCGGTGTTAAGTGTGTTAAAACCGCTCGAAGGTCATGGCCATGTTGCTCTATAGGTGTTGAGAGCGATGGACAGGCGTGCGAAACTGATGGAGGCCCGGCAGATCGACTGGGCGATGGCGGAGTGCATGGCGTTTCTTAGCTTGTTGAAGGAAGGTCATCACGTGAGATTGTCCGGGCAGGACGTCGAGCGCGGTACTTTCACTCAAAGGATACACATCATTCACGATCAGAGCAGAGACAAGACCTATAAGAATATCTTGCACGACGTTTTCCCGGGCCAGGCTCTCTACACCGTCACGAATTCCTCGTTGTCGGAGTACGGTGTATGCGGTGAGTTTGCTGCGAAGGTATACGCTTGTAGATGTAAAAAAGGAGCAGGAGGAGCTGAAATGCAGCCGAATCGCAGCGACGTATTTCCTTGGAATGGAGTCAGCTAATGTCGCTGCTCCTGAGGTTCGATTTATCAGCTGTTTGGTTGTTTATTAGCTGTTTAGACGCTGCAACCGAGAGATACTTGTCATTTGAGAAGTGACGTTCGGCTGAGTCCATCACGTGTTGTTGTAGTTGTAAGATACAGCAACCGGCACAATAGTCTTGATACGCAATGCAATTAGGTTATTAGATTCCTCCAATCGTCATTGACTATTCAACGAAGCGGGGACAGTGCGTCGAAACAGTGATAGCTTTATGTTTAATGGGCAGAAACAAACAAATGTATGTTACAATTAGGAAATAATTATTTTATTTTATTTTTCTTGTTTTTCTTAATTGCCCGATTAATTTAATTACACTTCGTGTTAATCCAGACAGAAGAAAAAGATCACGGCGACATGAGAATAACGAGGGAAAGATCGAAAAGTGAATTTTTATAGCATCATTCGCTATTTATTTTACTTTCGCTGTGACTTCCCGTTTTGCCTGGGAAGACCTGCGTCATTTTATATTTATATCACTTTTGCGGTTACTCGTGCTAAAAAGTATACTTTTGATTTTAGTAAGCGACACTTTATTTCGTAGTACGGACAGAATTTTGCACAATCAACTCTTAACGGTAATAGCAAAATGAATTTCACTGCGAGGAATCTAGAGACAATAGTTGACACAATTTGACTTGGTACGTAACATTGAGAGGGTGACAATTTTAAATTAAGTTTGTATCACTCAACAAAGTCTCACGATCCTGCTAACATTCTACGAACTGTTGACGCCGAAAGGGTTCGAGTTGGGCTACTCGGCGTACAACCACAATACTCTGACGATCTGGGAAGCGCAGTTCGGCGACTTCGCCAATACCTGTCAGGTAGTTTTGCTCGTTTCGTTCATTGTTCGCGCTCTTTTCTTTACGGTCAGCCTGCGCAACTCTTTCTGCAAGCTCGCTTCGTGAACAATTTCGCCTCACAGGTCATACTAGACTGCTTGCTGTGCTCCGGCCAGACGAAATGGGGTAGGCAGGTAGGGCTGGTGTTGCTTCTGCCGCATGGTCATGAGGGTCAAGGTCCGGAGCACACGTCGGCCAGACTGGAGAGGTTTCTTCAGTTGTGCGACGACGATTGCACTCGTCTGCCCGGCACGGAGCCCGGTGCTCCAGCCGACGAGACCGTCGAACAGATCATGACCAGGCAGCTGTTTGAGATCAACTGGATCGTCTGCAACCCCACGACGCCCGCCAACTTCTTCCATCTCATACGTCGGCAGATGAAGATGCCGTTCCGAAAACCGCTGGTTCGTTGAGCCATTTATTCTCTTCTCTATGGGTGGAATCTGCTTCAAGTTTGAGTGAAATATTTCTTCTTGCCATTCTCAGAGGTAGTAATTCACCTCGAATGGGGTTTCACTCGTTTTGAGTGAAATTTTATCTCAAAAAATTTAGAGAATGTTTGCTAAATTTCCTGGAACGTAATTCCACGCGGAAAGTACAATGATAACTCGAGCGTTACTCGCTCGAATGCGAGCGATTTTTCATTTATATTTCATTCGCTTATATTCATTTATATAGAATCAATTCTTTAGTCTGAGGCGAATTTCTACTCGCTTTGAATGAAAAATCGTGCAGAAGTTTAGAGAATAGATCGAGTAATTATTAATATCTTCCATCTTCTGGAAAAATATTACACGGGTTGTCGTGTGTGCCAGCGTTTCTCTCCTTTCTACCTACGACTCCAAGTCCTCGGATTAATTTGTAAAAGAATCAATCCAAAAATATTAATAAATGTAAAAATTGTAGCGTGCTATTTTGATCGATCCTCGTTACTCAGGTCATCATGGGCCCCAAATCATTGCTGCGTCACGCAATGGCGGTATCGGATTTTGAGGATATGGGACCAGGCACGAGCTTCAGGCACGTTCTACCGGATCCTTACGTGCAGCCTAGCAATGTGAAGAAAGTGTTGCTCTGCTCCGGGAAAGTATATTACGACGTAGTGATCGAGAGAAAAGAGCAGCAATTGGAAGATAAGATAGCGATTATCAGGATCGAGCAGTTATGCCCTTTCCCTTATCACCTTTTGGCGGCGGAAGTCGCCAAGTATCCGCGTGCAAAAGTGAGAACATTTGTCGATTTAGTGACCTAAACGATTGTCTCCCTCGAAATTGGGAAATTGGCGCGAGCGTTGACACGCGCCAATTTCCGCCAAAGGGGAATAATGATATCGTAAGCTTCTTGAGTGAGATTAATCGTGAGTCGTGTCGTTCTTCATGTGCAGATCATGTGGCTGCAAGAGGATCATAAAAACCAGGGCGCTTATTACTACGTGAGAGACAGGATAGCCTTAGCGTTGGGGATCTCGCTGGAGGACGTGAAGTACGGAGGTCGACCTAGCTCGGCCTCGCCAGCAACCGGCAGCAAAATTATTTATAAGAACGAGTACGAAAATATGATCGCAACGGCGATGAGTCTCGATTGATCTGGCGCGGTAAATTCTAACAACACCGCCACGACCAGCTCGGTGAAATTTCTTCAAGTAAAATCGTTCATATTTTACTCATGATGATTCAAAAAAATGAAGGATTGATTGGACGGATCGACAATTCGGGGCGACTCATTGTGCACGAGCGAGAAACCTCTCTCGAATTCGAGCTTTGCTTTTCGATCGGAGTCGCATTCCAAGGAATTTAGAGAGACGAAAGCGATAGAAACGGGAGTTTCGTCGTTTGGAAAAATAACGCGTGCGATTGTATCTCGCCCGGCTAATTTCACGGTGAATTTTCCCGTCGTGTAAACTCCATGCACTCACCAACAGACACAAGTACTCGATGCGTTCGCGATCTGAACACGGCGTCACTCTTCTTCTCTTACGAATCCACATCGTACTTTTACTTTCTTTATTTCCGCATTTTTCCTTTTATTCTCATCGCGCTCACCACCAGATTTCCCGAGCACACGGACGAGCAAGAACGCTCACTATGCTCGCGCATGATACGGAACTAAAAGCTAAACGTCGATTCAACCGGAAAGTGCTAACGATCGTCCTTGCCTACACACGCAGGTGGAATTTGCACCTCCGACAAAGGTCGCGATTGTTAACCGGTCGCGGCTGCGACTGAACTTCCACATCTCTCGCTCCTGGCCGATTTCGCTTTATAACGACGTCGTCTCACATTGTTACACGAATTCGAGACGTTTTCTTTCGAGGGTTCTCTTTCCACGAGGCTGGAGAGTCGTAAAATGTAATAACTAACCTGATAAACTTGATAAAGTAACTTGATTAAAATTTCACGATGAACAAATATCTGGACGATAGGATGGCGTGTCGCTTATCGAAATGAGACTTTACGTTGTCCGAAGAAATTTGCGCACACACACACACACACACACACACACACAAGGTTTTCTTACCATTTTCTCGTTTTACAATGATATTCGTGCGTGATTTTACAACAACAAGGAAAGGGCACTTGTATCGCCGCTTGGCCAGTCGTCCTCTTCTTTATTTTCGTTCGATTCTACACTACTCGGTGACGAAGATAAACCGAAGAATGCACACGTCACCGTATATTCATCACGTTTTGATTGTCACCAACTCGATACCCTTTGCGTAAGACACAACGTCGCCGAGAGGGATCTAGAAAGAATGGATCTTCTCCAGAAATCGGATTCTTACTTCTTTGTTAATCCCGCTTCGGCAGTTCTCTGTCAGCGTTTAGTCCGCACTGCAAACTAGCTCGCGAGGCTCATTGAATATTTATTTGCAATACTGATATTTACGCAAATATCAATTCGCACGGCGAACGATAACGAGCGGACCAAACGGGCCCGATGTAAAACGCTTCTCCGATGAAAACCCCATGAAAACGAATGCAACGCGCTGCTATATCTGAAAAATGAGCCCGGGAAACGTTGTGCAGTGCCGAATATATTTATTCTTTGTCGAAACCGCGGCTTTTCCTTTGCTCGCAGTATATTTTTTCTTTATCGCATATCGCTGGACTCTGAGAAATTTTATATTTGGACATCATATGAGTGTCCAAGGGTCGTCTTTGAGACGTCTAAAGTACATTCCGATTGCCTCGGACGCCTTTTAGACGCCTCTGAGACGTACTGAGACTTTAGGCACTCGCGCTGCTGCAGCAACGACCGAAGTTCGCGAGACTGGTTACTTAATAACCTCGACTTGAACCTTATCGGTGGTCTCCTCAAGTGCCGAAGCACTGTCTTTGCGCACGACACTTTTCGCTAGTCTGATTTCTCGCGCGCGCGCGCGCGCGCGTCCGTTACTTGTCGACGGCGACGGCGAGCGCAACTGAAGATATCCGAACGTGAGAACGGGTAAGGAAATCTTTATCGAACAATTTGCGCGCACCCACCCTTGTCGTCCATCGGCGATTAGGCATACGGGCCGTCGCTTATCGCGAACAGCAGATAACGTCCATGGACTCAAAACTGACGATTCTTCCGTACTTCGTATTCTTCCGTCACCGCGCATTACACTTATCTGTTGTAAATCGTCGACATGTTCGACGTCGCGGGCAGTCACGGTCAAGCAGGTTGCTCGACGACCTTGAAGAACTTTTCTTCTGTTCTTGAAACAGCGATCGCTTCTTTCGGAGAGACGAAAACTTACCTGCAGCGATTCGTCGATGGTCGGGGATAGTGGTCACTTTTTTTTTTTTCAAAGGACATGTGGAAAGGTGGAAAGTTTCGCGTGAACTCGACGACTTCGTCGATCGTGCAATTCATGGTCAGGCAAAATAATGCAAAAGAGTTTAAAATAGGAAATAGTCGGCGAACCCCAAGTCGGTGAACTGAAGATACCGAAGGAGGTGAGTACGCATAAGAAAATCTTTATCGACGAATCTATGATTCTCCGTTCGTTGTCCACAGCTAACCGATAAACAAAATGTGGGAAGATCGGCAGCGTAGTCGAGGAGAGAATGTGACATTCATGGCCATCTGCATTAAGTGTTTTGCCGACGGAGTCTGCTAATGTAACTTGATAGTAGACTGGCAGCGGAAGTCGGGTAAGAATTACGCTTCATTTAAACACGATTAAGTGATTACGAAACGACAGTTTCTAATCCTTTTCCATCGACGTACTCTCGGCGTAGATCCTACTTTATTTGGAGCAAACAGTGACGAATATTCTGATGAATGATGAGTGTTCCAATTTGTGACAATTGCATCCGTTTTTCTTAGTAAACCACTTAATACGTCTCTATATTTACCTAAAAGATTCTTCCTTATTTCTGTGCACAAAGATCGGTTCCTTTACAACCTACATTTCGATTTGTTTCCGTAAGATTAGCTATCTGGGCATATAAAGGTTTGCCTATTGTCGTAAGCAGAGTTTCACTCTTTTCTTGTTAGCGCTTTACGCACATCTATTTCTTACTAATCGCCTCTTACGTTACCGCGAATGGTGAACAATAACGCCCGTACCTTTGGTCTCTTCTGCACTTTCCGAGATCTGTCACAGTGACTTTGCGATTTAATTGATCAAGTGAAGTGCGATTAATTGAATTTACTTATCGCTCATGCGATGCGTTATCAATTTAAAAATTGAAAAGTCCTCGCTTTATCTCCGGTCGCGCATATAACGATATCTAGCAATGTAACTTCTCGGAACACAAACACGAAGTATCGGTGATTTTTATTATTCTGAGAAGACGATTTCGATGGATAATAATAGGCTATATTTATCGCGTTCATCCGGTTAAACTTCTTCCAGATTAAACTTATATTCCTTAATATAAAATTGTAAAAAATTGACAAAAGGAAAGCAATTAGAGTGACAATATCCAAAGTTAACTAGAAGATAGCTTCTAGAAGATCGGCGTACCGAGTTACTTCATTTCATATTTATAAGCATTTCTTATCTTCAACAATTCATTTTGAATAATTTAGAAAAGATAGACAGGTTGTCTGATAATTAATGTCACAGCGCATTTGTGCAAATATAACTACAAAATTGAACCACACAATTGAATTGAAAGTACTTTGTCATCTAATAAATTCCACCATAAATATCAAGGCATTAATTAAATAATATTACCGAATGAGCGCGTGAAAAGCGATAGGGCGATTTCTGCAAACCAGGTCTCATCTAAGATAAGTTTAATTTATTCCTTTTCCAGGATCTCTTCGAAAGGATTGGTAATGCAGCAGAGATATAGATCAGTATTTTGAATTCTCTTTTGTCGACAAAAGTAATTTCAAAAGTGGTTCACAGTCAATCAGAAAAGCACTTGTAAGGCATTTACTAGAAGTTGTTATGAAAAAGAATAAAACTTATTTAAATTTGATTTTGTGTATTTATTTGATGTAACGTTTGAATAATTGTCTATATATTATTGGTTATATTTTTTAAATTCGTCATCCACTTGAGTATCTCTTTAAGGTTGCAAGCAAGATTTCCTTCAAATTTGAATTTTGGGTTATATCTAAACAATATATAAATGTTTAAAAGCTGATGCAAATTTTAAAAATATAATATAATAGAATTAATTAAATTGCATTGATTATAATTAAATTAAATTACATAAAAATTTATATAAATAAAATTCAACATATATATATATATATATATTAAATTTGAAAATTCTTGCTAAATATTTTCGTTCGCACATGTAATGTATACCAGTAGAACCGCGAGTATATATTCCGAAAAGTATCGGTGACCTCTATTTTCTTGAGAAGATAATCTTGACAGACAACAAGCTATATTTATCGTGGCCATTCGTTTAAATTTGTTGAATATTGTTATATTTATATTATACATGAGCACGCACTCTTTTCCTTGTGAGTAGAAGCGTATATAAGATTCTCTATTCGTCGTACGTTATATACGGTTGTCCTCACGAGACGGGGTTTCATTTGCGGTTTGAAATTACGGAATAATATAACGTTGAAGGTTAGTCTTCGAACTTGGCGAGTTTGTTGAATCTTTTTCGGATCTTTTATTACCATAATGCAAAGGCAAGAAGTGTAAATCGAGAGAATTTTGTGAATATTTATTTCATTGTTTGCAGAGCAACAGAAATATATTGAACAAAGTCATCAGATCTTCTAAACGATTTCAAGAACATGATATATGAATATGAAATGACCGCAGAGGTCGACAACATAGAGAAAATAATGTCAATATTCAAAAAATTTAATCCTAAACTTAAATATTCTTTCAAAAGAACATATCAGAACTTTTACTTCGATACAAATAAACAGTATGAAAAAGAAGCAGTTTTTATGCTGCGAAAATTCGAAGTGAGTATTATAATTTTTTTATCCAATCTAACTTTCGCCTTTATGACACGTAACGTTATTTGTGGCATCGTTAACGAAAGTACCATCGTTAAAATTACCTTGTATTATTGTATATTATTGTGTAATTTGAATAAAATTTTTCTTTATTATACAGGACAATACTGGGCAGATAATTTATTACAAGGATATATATATTGAACAAATGGTTGATCACAGTTATGTAACATTATACCTTCCTACACCTCTCGCGGAGGAATTTATAGATATTTTTTCGCAAAGTAATGGACACAAAAGGACTATTTCTGTTACAAGTTACACTTATCAACGTTACAGTGAGAGAGTTGATTTAATATTGCATAAGATCGATTGTTTGGGTGATTTTTTAACACTACAGGTGTGCGGGCTTTTATACATACATATACGTACATATATATACACAATATACAGGGTGTCTGACAATTGAAGAAAAAAACTATGTGAAGTTAAAACAGATCAATAAATTGAGAAGTCATATAATATTTTGCAAAACTCGTAATAGTAATTTATTGATTTTGTTGTACTCGTAATATAATAATTTATTGATTTATTGAGTTTTATGTCAGACACTCTATACATACATATACACATATGGGCATATAACTATATAACATTGATAAAAAATTCTGAAATTGATAAAATTACACAATTACTATAGAGTTTATATTCATACAGAGAAACCCGACAGAAGAAGAGAGGAATTTTATAAAGGAGAAAGAGATAATAGAAATGTTCAAGGATATTTTAAAAGAATTAGGTATAAAACTAAGCAGGATAGTGACTAAATCGTTTCTAGGACTCATCGAAGAAGCCGAAAGGGGAATATAATGTAATATTCATTGTTCATAATAAAATTCATTCAATTTTTTATGTGCCGTAAAAAATGTAAAACACTAAAAAGAATTAATAAATAAAAGCAATTTAAATAATTTCGAGTTAATTAAAAAAACATGTTGCTATATTGAGTTATTTTATTTAATTTTCATATACATTTCTCATTTTTCTTCAGCAATGTAAATAATATAGGAAAATAATATGTGCTACATAATAAGTTAATAATATATATATATATATCACATACTTTTATACATATATAAAACAATTATTGAAACACATGATGCTGAATACTGTTTTTAATTATTTTAGTACTGGAAAATAGAGTTGAAAATTAAACGACTGCTATTTTTCGTTCATTTGTTAATTAAATATAAAAGATTCCTTATAAAAGATCCTTATAAAAGATGACATCGGTTAGCAAAATTCGAATATTAATATTGTTGAAAAATTGAGACTTTAAACTGCAAAATGAATCGTTTTAATAGCATTATTTTTGTTGATATTATAATCTTTTGAATTGTATATATTTTTCAAGATAGACTAAAAATATATTTTCTCTGGCGAAAATAATGGGTCTCATGGTTCTTGGATCCATATTATTTTTGCGAATGCGCGTGATTAGTTTCAAAGAATCCGTTATGAGCCGCCACTTTCCTTAATATGTGGCGACATCTGAACATTTGGTTGGAGTTAGCTCAAAGTGCCCATCATGAATTTTTTTTTAATATTCGTAAAAACTAAAGAATGAATTTTTACTAAATTTTTATTGAATTTTTAAAATTAGAACTCAATAAATTTTCGTGATAAAAAAAAAGATTTTACACTAATTCGTCAAAATTAAAACTTTTTGTATAAAAATTAAATGACAGTTTCGTTTTAGGAGTCTCTATTCCCAGAACTTGCAAGAAATGATACTTTTCCAACTTGAAAATATCTGAAAATATGTTTATTTTTTACAAGTTTATTATTTTTCGAAAAACTCCCTCAACTATTGCGTATTGGTGCGTATTGGTGCAATTAATTAAATTAGAATGAAACGAGATATACTTGTCGCACTCTAGGTTACTATACCAATGTACCACCAGTTCAGGAAGTTGTTGAAACAGAACAAACCTAAAATTTATTCATAGCCCATTCTTCTCTTTATGATTATCTTAAATTCAGCTCATTCAAATCTTTCATAATCAATAGAACGATTCATGGACGCTGCTACTGATCGTTTCATTGTTTTCGGAAGATTTGTAAGGTGAACTTATGTGAAATTCAACGAAAGACGGACTATGAATGGATCTTAGTCCGCCCCAGTGCGTCCAATCGAATTCGCCATCAGCTGAAAAGAATAGACCTATGCACGCATTCCCAGTACTGCGAGATCGGGAGAATTTCCCACGCTACAGCGCATGCCTGAAGTGACGTAGAACTACGTACATCTCAAAACCCACTGACGGTTTAAAGCGCATGACAGAGGATCCATGGAGGACCCTTTCTATTCTCCCTACAATTCCTTCATATTTTCTTTCAGAACAAAGGATCTTACGTCCATATTAGACTGACAGATTGAAAACTACAAGTGGACCAACTTAAATAACCAGGATTTAGATCACCTGATTTATCTGATTGTAATTTTCAATCCGTAGTATCATACGGGCGTTAAAATACCTTTAAATTTATACGGTACTGAGACTGCCACAGCGTTTGCTCAATGCGCATGCCCGGAAAATCTCCCGATCTCGCAGCACGGCGAGGAGGCGGCAGGTCCCTCAATCTGGTGGCATCGCGCCTCGTCAGGTCAGGTATTTTGGTAGGTACGAGCTGGTGCGGGTGTACTCGGCAGTGCAGTGGGAACTGGTGGAGCGTCGTGACGTGCCTTCTCGTTATTGCGTAATCGTCGAGGCCCGCCGAGCGGCACGAGAGCTGGCAGGAACGACCACGGCGAGCTGCGTCGAGAAGTGTCGCTTCGTCAACGAGCTGTTGTGCTGACAAGCGCGACGACAACGACGACAACGACGACGACGACGACGACGACGACGACAGGGAACAGCGAGGATTTCAACTGCGAGTGACGCTGCGGCAGCTCGACGACAGTGCCTCCCGCGGACCAAGAGATATGCCGCAGAGTGGAGGCGAGCGTTGCTAGCGCTAAGAAGGATGCGGTCGCGGTGTCCGCCGACGGATCGGTAACGAACGGTGAGGAACGGCTCAACATCCCCAGGAACATGTCGGCGATCAAGGATAGCAGCACGCCGCCGGGCGCGCCGCGCCAGCTGCCTGTGTTGAGCAACTTCAAGTATGAGTACTTCGTCGCGGGCATCTCCGGCGGCGTCGTTTCGACCCTGATGCTGCATCCGTTGGACCTCATCAAGATCCGATTCGCGGGTGAGTTACGCGAGCGAGCGGGAGAGACAGTGAGAGCGATCGAGCGAGCGACAGAGAAAGAAAGAGAGAGAGCGAGAGAGAGAGCGAGCGCACTTGCGAAAATGGCGACGGCTGTCACGTTGTGCCTCGCGATCGCCAGCACGTGGTGCTGTTTCCGGGAAGAACTGCGTCAAGGCGTCAATGATGCCTTCCCCGTCGGCTCGGCTCATCGTCGAGCGGCGGCACGGACGCCGTCCGTGCCGCCGCTCGCGGAAACGCCGTCCGCGTCCGAGTCGCGTCGTGCGCTCGCCGCGCTGGCTTGCGAAAACACCCGAGCGATTTCGTCAACCTCGCGGACCCGCACCTTTCTCGCCGAGAACTCTCGCGATCGTCCTTACTCGTGACGAGGAGGATCCCCGCGGGAAATCTCGAAAACGTGGTTGCCGCGGTTCTTTTCCTCTGCGTAGATCCCCATTATCCCTTCCTCCCCCTCTCGCTTTGTCTCTCTTCCTCTCTCTCTCTCTCTCTCTCTCTCGCTCGCTCGCTCTCTCTCTCTCTCTCTCTCTCTCTCTCTCTCTCTCTCTCTCTCTCTCTCTCTCTCTCGTCGCAGGGACGAATCGAACGTTCTCGTCCGTTCTCGTCTGGGAATCGCGAGCGAACGAGCGAGCGAGTTTCTGACGAACGAAGCGCAGCGGTCGTGATTCTCCGCTCTGGCGTTTCACTGGCGTGATAAGATTGAACGAGCGACAGATCTCGGGGCCGAGGTACACGCTGATTATCGGGGCACGCAGGCAACCCCGTCGTAGATGTGGAGACGCGGAGAAAAAGGAGTCCGAGGGTCGCGAGGGACGCTCGGGGAAAGCGGCGAGGCGTAGTTCCAGCTGATTCGGCGGGAACGCGATGATGATTACGAAACGTTTCCGCTCCAGAGAGAGGTGTTTATCTCGGAGGCGCCGTTTCGACAACGCGTTTCGTCATCGTCCTGACGTGAAACGAATGACTGATAACGAGCGACGGTCGACACGTGTCCCTGAAGATAAATGAGACGTCGTGGGATTGGTCGAAACTTTCGGACCTGGCAAGGCCCCCGCGAGCGAGGAAATTCCAGAAGTTCCTCCTGAGGAACGATCCTGCGAGATCTCCGGGTAGTCCTTCGCGATGTTCGCTTACGCTTTTCTAGCTAGCGACAAAGTGAAACTTGAGGTCTGTTCCTTTTAGCTGAAGCAGCTTGCGCTTTTCGCCGTTAGGCTGAAATAAGTATAGAAATTTGCGCCGAAGAGGAAAGGAGAACGAAGTCTCTCGGTGCAACACTCTTCAGCTAAAGAAGAACGGACCTTCGCTTTCTTTTTCTCGCGATGTATACTCGAGCGGTTCTTTTTAGCCGAGCCGAGCTGCGCTTTGCCGTTGGAGCGAACGAAGCGTATTCAATTTGGCGTCGAAGGCAGAAGGAAGGAAATTTCCCAGGAAACTGGAAAGAGAACAGGCCCTTTATTCTCTTCCGGAGGAAGAACCCGGTTCGGCGAAGAAGCACGAAAGTTATCGGACCGCGCGGAGGCGAAAACGTTCCGCGATCGTGCCGGAAGAAAACACTCCGAGACGGCCCCAGGACATTCGTACTCGTTCCTGCAATTCGATTCTGAATGAGAGGTAGTTGCTGCCGGACTGATAAGATAGAATCGAGCGATCCGAGTTCTATACGAGGCTGATTTCGTCATCGGCGAAAAAGCGGGGAACTGCGCGGCAGTTTCAGGTAGCAGAGAGAGAATTCCGTCTTACCTGAGAAATTCAAGGAACGATCCAATCGGACACTTTTTCGAACACGGTTTCTCAACAACCGGCCAGTTCTTTCCAGCAGCGAGACGAGAGAAAGACAGGACGAGAAAGACAGTTTCTTTATCCGCCAGAGTAGCGTAGCCGCGAACGTTGCGACAAGTCGAGCAGATCGATCGGAATGAATTTACAATCGGGCTGGAATTGTTGATTCATTTCGCTCATTCGTAAGAGAGAGAGAGAGAGAAAGAGAGAGAAGTACGTGTGATATCCATGGCTTTATGAGCCTTGGCCTTCGCTCATCCGCTTTAAACTTCCCGAAGCCTCTCGCCTCCTCGCGGACATCTACATTATCGCCTTCGACTGTGACGTCACAGACGAGGCGATAAATAGAGCTCTCTCTCTCTCTCTCTCTCTTTCTCTCTATCCTTCTTCCCTCACGGCAGCGCGCCTCGCGAAATCGCGGATTTCCGCGGCGCGTCGAGCTCTCCCAGCGGAATATTCGTTGGCCATTCACCAAAGCGTCAAGTCACGAGAATTCCGCGAGTTGCGTCAGCAGCGACACGTGACCGCCGTTATTGAATCGTGTGGTTGCGCGTGGCCGCCGAATCGCGCGCTCCCAGTTGGATCGCCGGGATTCAACAGATGGTGCGAACGAGTCTCTCTTCGCGGCCTCGTTTATTCTCGGAGGACGTGCGAATGCAATAGACATGGGGACGACAGCGGTGGCGGCGGCGGCTACTATAACGACGACGACGACGACGACGACTCTTGTTACTGTCCTGGGAACGCATTTCCCGAGGCGCGGCGTTATCGCGATAGCGAGAGATGAAAATTCCCCCGGCAAATAAGACGCATCGCGCGGAAAGAGCTGTTTTTGTACGCCGAGATACGCGATACGCGACACCAACACTACCACGATATTGGTGTGGCGATGATAAACGCGCGCGGGTACCCGATGCTCGATACTCGATACTTAGAATTGTGTATATACGCATCGAGAGAGAGAGAGAGAGAGTGTGTGTATGTATATCTAAACATTTAAATACCGCGTATCGCGAGGCGACGCGTTATCGCCGATTGGTTTCGCAAACAGAGCGAGAGCGGTGCGCGATAATTAACAGGCGAAATTAAATATATCGCGCGCGACTGCGATCGTGTGTATAATTCGGTCGAAAGATAGGAAATACGTTTGTATGATGATGATGATGAAAGTCGGCTCTGCGACGGCTCCGATAATCACTGCGATGACTTCGCACTTGGAGCCTTCACGATAAATTAATGAGTAAATTTAAAAGTGTATGACGTATACGGGGTGTCCGGCCAAACGTTAACACTATATTCTAGAATTGAGAACAAACAGAAAAGTTGAATAAACACAAGTCCGGAAACAACTCGTTAACGATATCAATTATATCAGTTGCAAGGAATGTCTGAGATTATTTACAGTATTAATCCCGTTAATTTTTATCTACGAGGTCATCTTAAAACTTTAGTTTACGCTGCGGGACTTGTTCAAAATATTGATGAACTTCAGAGACGTGTCGTAAATTTGTTTGTTATCATGCGAGACTCTTCTATCATTTTCGACCGAGTTCGCGGAAATCTTTACGAATTGAGATTAATGTAATTCGTTAATGGTTTTTGGTATATTCCGTATAATATGTGAAAGAAATATATCATATTTGAACATATTAATTCCAGACATCTCTCAGGTGTACTACTGGAATAATTCCCCCTATCTAGAATTATGAAAACCACGCAGGGAGATAAAACAACTGTTACAACTCTTTTGCGATAAGCGATCTAAGTCAATCTTTTGACAATATACGTCTAATGGGCGTACAATATTGTTACCTAAGTGCAAACTAAGCGTATTTCCGTCAAGGTTGACAATAAATCGAAGATATATGACGTTGTCTCTCTGGATAGAATTACGAAAGCAAATTTAATTCGACAAATCCGTACGAACACTTCGAGTTGTTTGTACGTCAAGAATTATTTTATCCGTAATTGTGAACAACTCGTAAATTTAGTTGATTAATTTCACATTAACATAACGTAACGTTATTTTTTCTTTTGGCATACATATATATCTCGAAATGAGCTCTTGGAGATTTTCGCAGTTGCTTATCAGCGATGACGTTATGTACTCTTTGATAAATTTAAATCTACGACAGAAGTGCTACCGTGAAGAGGCTCGTCCGGAAAGGATTGAACTAATCATTCGCGTTTTCCGATTGCAGTGAGCGATGGCCAAACGAATGCACCGCGGTACAACGGTCTCAGGAGTGCTATCAGCCAGATTGTCAAAACCGAGGGGGTGCGTGGACTTTATAGGGGTGTAACGCCGAACGTTCTAGGCTCAGGCAGTTCGTGGGGTTTCTACTTTTTCTTGTAAGTGCACAGCCTTTTATATTTCATTTGGCACGACGAGTTGCATACGACATGACGCGAATAATTCCAATTCGATGCGACACTCTAATTAAATGAAGCACGTTAGAGCCTGCGGTAGAGAGCTCAACTCGATTCTGCGGAGGATTGTCGTAAAGTCTAGAAACTCAAGAGAGAACCACGGTGGATGGTGCAATAAAATTCCCACGTCGTAATAACTTGTAAATAGCGGGGGCGGATTTATTTATATAAATTTTCTCGATTATTTATTTGGCGTGATGAGTTGGAGGAAGCGACGTGAATGTAATTCCAATTCGACGCAGCGCTTTAATTAAATGAAGCGTATTAAAGTCTGTGCGGTAGTTCAGTACCATAGCGGATTGATGAGTCACTAAGACTCAGGAGAGACGGCAACAAAGTTACACGTCATTGCAACTTGTAAACAGCAGGATGAATTTATTTATATCAATCCCGTCGGTTAGAAATTGAATCTGTCGCTTCGACGAAGAGTAAAGTAACACGCGAATAAATCCCGAATATGCGTTCGGAGACAACGAGTGACTGACTGAGTGATCGTATTGCAGCTACAATACGATAAAGACCTCGATTCAAGGTGGGAATTCGAAGAAACCGCTCGGACCGTCCATGCATATGTTCGCTGCCGCTGATGCCGGTGTGCTCACGTTGCTCATGACTAACCCGATATGGGTGGTGAAGACGCGATTGTGCTTGCAGTATGCCGAAGACGTCAAGCTGGCAGAATCCAAGAGGTATCGCGGAATGATGGACGCTTTAAAGAAGATTTACAAGACGGAGGGCATTAGAGGCTTGTATAAGGTACGCGAATATTCTCTCTTTCGATTGAAACCTTTGATCGGGTTGCGACTGGACTTTGCAGCAAGACGAGAAACGCTCTTGAGCGTTTCGTCGTTAGTAAGTTATCACACGGCCCATTTGTTTTTGCAGGGTTTAGTTCCTGGATTGTTTGGTGTCTCGCACGGTGCGATTCAATTCATGGCGTACGAAGAGATGAAGAATAAATACTATAATTATTTGAACGTAGCCATTGATACGAAGCTGGTGAGTTGAGAAATTGTATATTTGTGCGTTACGCATGTGTTTTTAAAAATGTCCCGTGCACCGCTGATGGCTTGACGTAATATTTAGCTTTAAAGCCTCGAAACTCTCGCTACTGTAGCTCAGATATTTTATCCACATGTTGTCCTCTATTGGATATTTGCTTGTGGGCGTGTTATTTATTGGATATTGGATATTTGTAGTATTATCTATCGGAAATGTCGCTCTTAGGTTAGTTGGAGAGTAAATTAACGAGAGATAAAAATTAACAAGTACATACTTCCCTCTTTGAATCTCAATATATTGTCGCAGTGTTAATTAAGTTGAAGAATATATCATTTATTATTAAAATAATTATTTAAAGTAATTAAAGTGATTATCCACGAAAGACTACACCTTACGCAAAATTTTTATTCTGATTATTTATTGTTGTATAAAATGAAATCTTGGGTTATACTTCGAATCGCGTGGGAGTCACATGTAATTTCTGCATGCAGTTCCTGAGATACATTACTATGAAGTCTCGCAATTTTACATTGAATTGTACTGGGAATCAACTACTCTTCGCTACTGTCACTTCAAACACATCGTGTGTTATTTTCTTTTATATTTTTTATTCGTGTGTGCTAATCTCTAATATACTACATGTTCAAATCATAAACAGCCTGCCGAAAGTGCCCGAATATCTCGTCTCACTGAATTGATAAGTTTATCATATGTTAAAACGAATGTAAGCAAGAAAGAATAACAAATCCTGAGAAGATTAGCAAATATTTCTACGCAATACTTGAATTCAAGTGATATATTGCTTCATTGAAATATGTTATTTTTGTTACATTTTTATATTTGGTACATTTCTAATTCAACGGATTGGAGATGGATCTCCGTGTTGATGTTTTTATCTGTTAGTCGTATAAGGTATTCACACAAGTTAGTCTATGGAAGCAAAAAATGTGAACATGGAAGAATAACATGAATGAAATATTTGAAGTGATTGCAAAACGATAAGTAACCGAATATAATCAGATATAAAATCGTAATGGTTTCAAGCGATATATTTCAGGAATTGGCAATTTAAGGTACAGATAATCAGGATTCCAATTTTACTCTACCCAATTTTACCATCTTTGATTAATTGATCGATCATTCCAATGAATTTAACCAATCACATTTATCGTTAAGCGGAATTGGCCGGAATTGACCAATCACGGTTAACATCTAATCGGTCGGTTAAGTTAATCGAAGATAGTGAAATTGGCTTTATAACACATATTAAAATAAAAATGATTTATAAGGTGTAACTTTTTGTAAATAATAACCATTATATAAGTAATTATTATATATATATATTGTTTAATTGTAATTACTAAAATGAAGTAATTAATATGTATTAATTAATTTATTATTAATATCTCATTCAAAAAATAATCGAAGGACTTTTAACAAGAAAGAAGAAAAAGTGATAAAATTTCAATTACAAATTAACTATAGTTAATTGTTCGCAAAAGAGTATAAAAGCGGACGTTGGAAGATATTGTTTCGCTGATAAAGCGTTTGATAAGAAACTAAAAGCGGTTGTACACGATGGTCAACATGCGATTTTTAATTACAGAGCACAACGGAATACATCGTCTTTGCTGCGTTATCGAAACTTATCGCCGCGGCGTCGACGTATCCTTATCAAGTAGTGAGGGCTCGGCTTCAGGATCATCACCACGACTACCGAGGCACCTGGCACTGCATTCAAATGACATGGAGGTCAGAAGGTTTTAGGGGTTTCTATAAGGGTTTATCACCTTACCTTTTACACGTTACGCCAAACATATGTCTCATTATTCTTATTTACGAGCATTTTACTAACGGCAGTTAATTCGCGTAAATACCTTATCGTTGTGGTCGCAAGTGAAAACTCTGCAACTTTAGACAATTATCGCAATCGACTCTATTTTTTATCATTTTTCTTGTTTTCCTTTTTTACGCTGTAGAATGCAATATCATGTATGTCGTAATGTAGGGCGTAACGATTTATCGAGAACTTACGATACATGAATGGATGTGCGCGTATGATCTCTCGACGACGACGACGACGACGACGTGGCCGTGGTACTCAACTCTTTTAATATAGACAATTATCACGCGTCGCGCGCAACTGTAAGTGCTATTGCGGTGCTATCATGCGGTTATACTATCATTCGAATTAGCAGTAGAAAGCCGTTTTTGTTATTCCGAGAGAAGAAGAAGAAGAAGAAGAGGTTTCGTTGTGTATAGAATAATTTTTCCGTCTCGAGTACTGCTCCTGTGCTCTGAAGATCGCCTGGAAGGGTTATCAGTAATATTTTTTATTTCCTTTCCCCGATAGAGATGAGACGTAGGTAGAGTTTGATAATGTATCGGTCTTCTGTTCTGACGCGTCAAGCGCAGACATATTTTCTATTATTTTTATTTCTATTTAATTTATAGTAGATTCTCGTTAAGTCGTATGACGTTGGACGAAGGAGGCACCTGACATGGGGGAATAGATACTTCAAAGAGCGGACTTTACTATTGCCATTTGAACTTTTCACTCGCAAACGAACGAGCGGACCGTGAAATGGCAATAGTTGGCGCGTATCTTACGTAGGACGTATATTTTATTTATTCTGTTCACGCTTTATTATCCAAGCACATACTGAGAGACTGCGATAGCAATAGAACGAACGAAGTTACTCTGTTATATTTCTCCCTTAATTTATAAAGCTTTAACTTATAAATTCACGGCGGGATTCGGCTGACGTGCTTTATGCAACGACAGCTTTGTTACGATACAATAAGGGGATTGTATTTTAATCGAAACGTCATTGGGATTGTATAAAGCACGTCACGACGATTAGACTGGTACGGAAGATAAGGACTTCTGTTTTACTGGCGTATCGCGTGGACGAATTGCGCGTCTCGACTAGACTCGGTTTAGTCGGCCGTACGCACGCATACACATATCGATACGCTTGTTTATACGCGCCGATAAGAGAAACAAAGTGGCACGAAACGAGGAACGTGCCGGAGCGAATGTGACGAAACGTTTTACGCGCAAGTACGCAAGCCGCGACACGCCGGCGAAAGATACTTCAGAATATCACGTCGCGGAAGACGACGTAATCTCGAGTGACGAGATTAGTAACCAAATATTCGCATAACCACGCGGAACATATGATATTTCCGATGCATAACGCGCGAACGAGATATATACGGACCGATGGTTTCTCCGTGTCTCCGCTTCATTCGGCGGGTTTCAGTGCGGATTGAGAAGTCGCCCAATTCCCGGCGACTCTGTCCTCTAATCCGTTTCGCTTTAGGTTTAAGGGCAAATGTAGCGAAAGTTGGCCGAATCTGTATTCTATCTTGTTTCCTACGACGAGAGAGAGAGAGAGAGAGAGAGAGAAAGAGAGAAAGAGGGACGGCTCTGCTCCTCTGTAACGCGATCACTTACCTCATTCTAATTAAATGGAGCACATTAGAGCCTTCCGTGATTGCTCGAATCTACGAAGGTCGTCGTAGGGCCCGAACACTCGTGAGGGCCACGGTAGATAGCAATAAGATTCAACTTGTAACGTCGTTGCAACTTGTAAATAGTAGGACAAATTTATTTATATCAATTCCCTTAGTTATAAAGTTGAGAATCTGTTTCTTTGGCGAAGAATAACGGAACACACGTGAGAGAAGATACTCGAGCGACATTGTGACGATATTAATAAACACACACACACGCACACACACACACACACACGCACGCATACACTCAGTCATGCCCGAAAGGTGTCTGTTATTGGATCGCTACCAACTTCTTCTGATTTCTCACATCTCCTCTGTCTCATTCTATCTTTATATTATCTCTGCTGTGTGACTATTTAGATGTATCATTGTCATCACCATCATTACCACCACCACCATCACCACCACTATCACTGTCTGTCGTCCCTGGATCTCATTTCTTCGCTCTGTCTCCCGATTTTATCGGTACTATTGACAATTTTCTGCCAACGAGCTGTTGATGGAGCAGCAAGATACATCATCGCGATGTAATCGCGATTTAATTAAATCACGTTTATCTCGATTATATCCTGCAGCGCAAAGATTTAGGTGATTTGCTAACTGTGAGAGCATGTGCAATGGCGTCGTGTGTATTATAACGAGGGCTTTGGGTACAGTAGTTTATAAGCCACCAGCAGTACGATTTTTGTGAACGTACGATTTTTTACGATATCATCAGCCACGTCCGATGCGTGTCGCATTTGGCACAAGTCTCCGGTCGCGATTATAATTGTGACGAAACACACAAAAATAAATCAAAGCAGCGCCTTAGAGAGAGTTCGCCGGCTGTCGCGCGATCCGGCAGCCCGCCAATCTATGTTTTTTTTTTTCCTTTTTTTCGTTCGTAGAAAATCTCACGTGGCATCAACAAGAATCGTACGCGGGTTCAATCAATCAGTGAGCGTCCTCTCCGGAGTACGTTTCGCGTTCTCGAATTTTGTTTGTTTGTCAAAGCAGAAAAGTAAAACAAAGGCGTATTGCTGGTGGTTCGTTGCAGGTATGAGAGTTGGCGCGGCTTTTACAAGGGATTAAGCGCAAACCTCATCAGGGTGACCCCGGCGACGGTTATTACATTCGTGGTCTACGAAAACTTTTTGCATTATCTGCGATCCAGCCGCATGGCGGAAGAAGTGCCGCTCGCCGTGTCTGCGCCTGCGGCCAGTCAGCTGAAGGAGTAAGGTGGACTCCTCCATGACGCGGTCGTCTGTTCCCACCGGCATGTTCGCTGAAACTCTCTCGATCGAACTTCACTGCTTCGGCATAAGAAGGAAATGTATTCCAGACATGAACTTCGGGAGACTCGAGTTCATTCTATTCCACTTTCCGGTGCTTAATTTGGCTCTAGCCGACACGCGTACACTTTGAGTTACTTTCTCAATATCTTGGAGCGAAATTCGATGGAGATTCGATACTGGAATTGACAGTATAAATATTGCTGTTCGCGAGAGTAAATGTTTGAAAAGTCCGTCGACATGAGAACATCTGGGAACATTTGGTCCAGTTTTGAACAGGAAGGTTGTCCGTGACTTTTCGTGCGAGTCTCGGAGTGTATCTATCTAGTTCAATGGAATAATTCATTTTTTAATGAGAAAATTCTTTCATCGGGCGAAACAAGCACGTTTGAAACTCAAAAAATTACGGACAGCCTTTGCGTTCACGACTATACAAGACATTGACAACTTACGGTCCTTCTGCTGTTTGAGTGGAATTTCTCTCCAAGAGATTTAGGGAGTGCTGATTGCTGTTGATTAGTAGTTACTGTGTTGTATTATTGGTTCCCGACGACGCGAGACACGCAGTCTGAGTGTCTGCTCTCTATGTATGGATTTTGCACAAATTGCGGATCGCCCAAGAATTTTTCCGTCATATCGCGAATGTGAATGTTAATGTGTTTGTCCTTCCTGCGTTAATGGATTTAACTAATTTACCCTGGGATGGACTAGTCTGTGTGAATTATATTCGACCGGAATGAAACAGGATCTTTAGGACTTTTAATTGAGGAGACGAATATTTAAGTACCGAATCTTTAATATTTCCCTATTACAGTTGAGTCTTTTCACTTCAAATAAACAATTAAGAATATCGTTTCGTAAAGGATCGCCCGCAATGTGTCGCAATAATTGACCAAAACGTTAAAAATATGTTAGAAGATGTTTGAATCTGTGTGTGGACTCGTGTAAGAAAATCGTATGAGAAAATCCGTGAAATAAATCGTGTTGCTGACTTGCGTGTCGCCTTTTATAAGCAGGTGATGAGATACTCCCGCGCGAGTTCTTACCATCTTATCAGTAGTAGAGGAAAGATGCTTCTCACGACATAAGAGTAATAATCAATAATCAATATCAATCGTTTTGTCAATTATCATTTCATTCTCCCGTTCTTTTATCGATTCATAGTCATGTTTTCGAACATAATTCTTTATCGATTGAATTTGGAAAGTTACGTGGATGTAACACCTTCCCCTTTAAAGTCATACGTGGTAAGTTAATTATGAAACCACGTATGAGCGCAATTAAAAGAATTAGAGTTAGTTAGTTCATATAGTGCGAAAATTTTCGTGAATATTCATGAAAGTGATTTGATGTAACTTTCCTTTTAATTATTTTGATACAATATTTTATTCGGCCTGTTCAATATAAGGCCTGTTCGTTTTGTCTGCATTGCTGAACTGGTGCATTAAGTTAAAGTGAGACAAACATAGGTTTTCTCACTTCAATTTGTGTACTCCAGTTCAGCAGTGCAGACAAAACTAACAGGCCTAATATATAAGATGTATTATAGTATATGAAACATAATTAATATAATATTATATATTTTATATATATTTTTAAAATATTATTTATTTAATTTGATATATGTGGTGTTGATTTTGGTATAATATAATCTATTGAGTATAAACTAATATATAATATATAATACGTTTAATGTTGGATTTTTAATATCTTCGCTTTACGTATCGTTCTTTTTTCTCATGAAATTGTACAAGCCTGTTTCTAACACTTTTTCAATACATTCTTGGCATTCGCTGCCAGGTCCCTTTTCTTCTAATACTTGTTTAAAACAATAAAAATAATATAATTTTAGATTAGGGTGGTAATTTCCCCTATGAATCACGAAATGGCGTTTTCCAAGTTTTTCAAAATTTTGTGGTGTATAAGTCATATAGCAAGCGTTGCACAATCTCTTTTTTTTTTTTTTAAACTTTTTCCAATATAAATGTCTTGTTCAATTGGTTTTAAACAATAACTGTACGTTATAGCCAAATATTCATAATTTTTTTCTTTGTAATCCTCCGGTCGTATACCGTCAATAGGGCCATAAAATTCATTAAAATTTTTGTTTTCCTGGCCCACTGGAATCTTCATGTTCCAATATTAAGGAAATAATAAATTTAATTCAACTAATTTCAGAAAAGAACGTATGCGTACTATAATGTATTCAAATGGAATAAAAAATTTATTTAAAATTATTTTACTTGGTTTTAAGTTTTCCGTTTTTTTTTTTTTTTTTAAAGAAAACGGTTTTTAAAAAAACGGTTTTTAAAATGAAACGAAAAACTTAAAATCAAGTAAGTAAAATAATTTTAAGTAAATATTTTATTACATTTGAATACATTCACATTATAGTAGGCACATGTTTTTTTCTCAAAATCCAAAATCAACACCACATATATCAAATTAAATAAATAATAATATTTTAAAAATATGTATAAAATATATAATATATTAATTATGTTTCATATATCATAATACATCTTATATTATATTGACCGAATAAAATATTGTATCAAATTAATTAAAAGGGAAATTACATCAAAACACTTTTATGAATATTCACGAAAACTTTCGCACTATATGAACTAACTCTAATTCTTTTAATTGCGCTCATACATGGTTTCATAACTTACCACGTATGACTTTAAGGGGGAAGGTGTTACATTACATACACGTAACTTTCCAAATTCAATCGATAAAGAATTATGTTCGGAAACATGACTATGAATCGATAAAAGAACGGGAGAATGAAATGACAAAAGACAATTGACAAAATGATATTGATTATTGATTACTACTCCTATGTCGTGAGAAGCATCTTTCCCCTACTACTGATAAGGTGATTAAAACTCGCGCGGGAGTATCTCATCACCTGCTTATAAAAGGAGACACGCAAACCAGGGACACGATTTATTTCACGCATTTTCTCATACGATTTTCTTACACGATTTCTTACACGAGTCCACACACAAATTCAAACATCTTCTAACACATTTTTAACGTTTGGGTCAATTATTGCGACACATTGCGGGCGATCCTTTACGAAAAGATATTGTTAATTGTTTATTTGAGGTGAAAAGACTCAATTGTAATAGGTAAATATTAAAAATTCGGTATTTAATTATTCGTCTCCTCAATTAAAAGTCCTAAAGATCCTGTTTCATTCCGGTCAAATATAATTCACGCGTACTAGTACATCTCAGGGTAAATTGGTTAAATCCATTGACCCAAAAAGGACAAACACATTAACATTCACATTCGCGATGTGACAGCACGAACAACGTAGATCAGTATTCCATAAAGTATTGCTTCATATGCATGTAGATAAGAGACAGTTCAACGAAAGCGTGTTGATCGACAACGGTTAAGTTGTTGAGACTGCATTTCCGCGACGATTTTTCCAAAAATACACGCGTTAGTCTTCGCATTCTTTAAACTTTTGGTTTCCTTTGTGTTTGTGTTGTACTTTTCCTTTGTTCATGAAAGAAGTCTATCCGAGAGCGCGTCCTCGTACGTTTAATTCATGTAATTGTGTGTACAAGCGTCTTAATTAGCGCCCGTAAATTAAGTGTTGAGATCGACTTTGTGCGACAATCTTCACAAGATCCGCGTTGGTCCTTCTCTTATGTTTTTTTTATGTTTCGTTTAAATTTTTATGTGCTATAAGCTTCAAACAGTTTTTGTAGAACTTTGTCTTTTCTTTCGATTTAATGGTTAGTTTATGTACAGTCTGTCTGTAATTATGCATAATATCGGACGACTTTTAATAGACGTTGCATTTATCAATGATGCAGGAAGCCGTTTAAATGGCGCCGATACGATCGCTCACTAGATCGAAAGGATTGACGGGGCATTTCTTGTAACGTCGGTCGCAATGCTGTTCATGTTCGGCCTCTGTAATTTCGTCCGGGAGATTTTCGTCCTTCGAGCTGGACGGTCTATCGTAAAGATATAAAAAAAAAATATGTTATAGCAAATTCATGAAAAGTCCATCGCGAAAACTTTCCCGTGGGTCCTTGGAAACACGCGCGGAATAATTCGCGAACTTTTAGGCGGCTTACTTTTAGGAACTTAAAGTCATAGATATCGTTAAATCCTTTGCAAAGCACAGGAGAGGTGAGCCATCACACGCAAAACGGGAAAATTGGCTCGTTTTTTGCGCAAAATATTTTCTGTAGTTCTGTCGTTTGTATCATGCGTCTCTGAGATTCGTTAGCACGAATGAGAATAAAAATGAGAATCGACATGTTGCTAGAAAATTTAATTTCCCGAATCGCCTTCCTCGCGCACATGATCGACACAGTAACGTAAACACCATTATTGTTGTATGTGTGTGTGGGGCTATATAATATCATAATAACGTATTATGTAGCGTCTCCTTATAGAGTGCTACTCACGTAAATACGATCTGCAGGATATCACCGAGCACACCGTTTTCGCTTAGAGGATATTTCGCAGCCTCGCAAATTACTCGCAGTAGACAATCCAGTCCAGGATAACCCAGGCTTTTGCACATATGAAATTAATTAATATGCGAGTTGCAGTGTCGTAAATCATCTGCTAAATTACATTTGTCTGTGTCGTTATGAAGAGGGAAAGGAGAACAGGATAAAGAGAATCAGAAGAGAGGAGGAGCCTTCTGGTGAAATTGTCTCGATAATTGAGACATGAGAGATATCGGGGAAAAAAATATATAAAATCGATAGGCGTGCGGATATTCGCTACATACCTTTCTAGCTTCTTGATAGATGCTTCGTACATCAATCGACGATCGAGACTTCGTTTTGCGAGATAATTTTCTTCGTGATAATGACTCGTGTTCCACGGCACTCCGTAATTCGCCTCGAAGTAGTACGCCACGGCGATTGATTTGTCGGGAATGTCCACTGGGATCGACACGGCAAAGAATATCTACGGGTGAAAATACATGTAAATATATGTAAATACACTATCTCAGTCTCGTATCTGGATTCAATTTTCATTTTGTTTATGTTAACTTTAATAAGCAGTGCGTTGTTACATGTACAGTTAGTTTATCGACTGCAGGTAGAATATGCGCAACAACCAAATACTAAATAATCTAATAAAGATGAATGCAGATAATGAGTGTGTAAGAAAAGTCTTGTTGCTGTGTTTATTATTATTTTATATTCCCTCAAGAGTCGACGGAATATTACCCGGTAAACAGGAAACATAACATGCTGAGACATTGATTTCGCGTGAGACTCATGAATGTTTTTATTTAATATTTTACAAATGTTTTTTTACAAAAGTATCATCGGATAATGCGATCTTTCCAAATATTGTAAAAACATCTTGGAAACATTGAAGTGTCATAGTTACTCGTAATAATGCCGACACAACGTTACAAATTACACATTAGGAGATGATACGCACTCTTGAATATTATTGCAATAACGTTTTGTTCACTGGGTATATAATCAGCCGACGAGAATAATAAGCGCACGCTTCATTACGTCGCGATATCTTTGTTATTCAATCTTGTTATTCGATCCGAGATGCAAGGCGAAAATCTTATTTAATGACTATCCTAATTTGTGATAATTGCTTTCCTTAATAATAAGTCAGCTAATGCGAGTCTATATTTGTCCTACATTTTTTTTTCTTTTATATATTATCAATCATAACAGGTTTCGAGTAAAATTAAAAATCATAATATTGAAACGTGCTGTAATTACAAGCGAAAAACAAAATCGCCAAACCGAGCGACGCGTACGCATCGCAGAACGGTTTAGTGAATTGATCATCGTAATTTTTCATGTACACCCTTTATATGCATACTCCTGTATGTACACATTTTTCTATATAAATATCGATATAGATACCGATATTTTTCAAAATTATCGATATTATCGTTATCGATGGTTTTTAAATGACGATAATATCGTTATCGATATTCTGAGAAATCGTTGCGTTCCTAAGTGACGCAAATTTGGCGACGGGCTTGCCAGAGAATTTCCCCCACCACTCACGCACATTTAGCCGGCTCGGTCTAGCCGCGTGACAGTGTCGAGTGCGTGGCCCACACGAATGGACCGAGTTAGCTGTGTGCGTGCGTGGTGGGGGAAATTCTCTGGCCGGCCCGCCATCAATTCCGATCACTGGAGGATGGAAGATGCTGAACGCGATGGAGGACGGAACGAGATTTGCGGTACATCGTATATTTCCAGGTATGTCGAATTATTTATTGTTTTCGATTTTCTCCGTTCTTAACGGACCTACGACGGCTACGACGAACTCACTGAGAATGAGATACGCCCGAGCCGGAATTTCGATTCTAACCTGAATCTCGCGAACGTCGCGAAATCGCGCCGATTCGCGCCTTTAAGACCGGAATGATTCATGCTTATAAGTTATTTATAATGTTTGAGAATGTAGATACAGATTAACGTGTTGATGCTTTCTTACACATGTGTGTGAAACATGTACATTATGTAATGTATACACACATACGTGTATTATGTTTGCGAGTATCTATTTTCCATAAAAGTGCTCACGGCACCTGACCAGAGAGCGTTCTAGAAGCTCTTTTAGGTCCTTCTTTAACAATTTCCCCAGGTAGAACGGAAAATCACGATGACATCAAAATGACGAGAAAATGGCCGAATCATAATGCAAAAATGAATTTTCTTCATCATTTTGACGTCATTCTGATGTCATCATAATTTTCTGTTCTGCCTAGGTTATGTTGACAAACAGTCCGTGAAAAAAAAAATTTCGTAGTAGAACACGACAGTCGAAAATACTTCTATGGAGATTTCGCACAAACTGCTCGTTGTTGTACTTTCGGGCTCTTATTATCGAGCATCTTACTAATCGTTTGGCTTTCTCGTTACACATTATGCGAGTATCTTGTAAAGTGATAAATACAAGCTGCGCGGTACGTTCGCGCGCGGAATGTTGTCCTTGTCGTTGTTTAACGGGGACATTACGTGTGTTGCAGTGTGTTGTTCCAGCATGAGCGGTTAAATCTTCACGCGGAGCAAACGACGCGGTAAGTACCAACTTGCACAATGTTGTATTGTGAGGTTCTGCGCCGGACTTTCATGAATGCGGAATTTGCGAGATACGTTAATAACGCAGAAAACCGCCGAGTTTTGGCTCGGGTAAGCGGTGAAAAAAAATGAAACAAATCATTACTTTCTTTTTTTGCAACAAGCATCATTTTATCATAAATAAATAAATATTGATATGTAGATTTGCTACGATTTTGCGCGAGAGTTTGGTAAATGTCGAGTGATCGAATGTGTTACATCGTGACTTTTTCGTGGCGGGACAAGACGGGTTTCCGCCGACGTGTTTAATAATGCGCAGTGAGTTCGTCGATTGTAACGCGTTTGCGCTGAAAATTCTCTCGAATCACGCTACGCACGTACCTTCAAAGGGGCCGAACGATTAATACCTATCTGTATCGATGTAATACGCGGCCGCTCGGCGGCAGTTCGGGGCGCATTAGCAGATGAAAAATGAATGATTGATCCGTCATACCCCCGTATTGCTGCCCTCGGGAAATCTGACAGATCGCATATGTCTCGATACGCCGTGTGTGATATTTTTTACTGCCGACACATGTGTCGACTTCGTAAGGCACCACAGCGACAAAAGCAGCATCGTCGTGATTCGGTGTCTGGAAAAAGAGAAAAAAAAATTGAAATCCGCGTGTCCACACGCAGCGGCCAAACAGTTGCTTTCGTTTACTCAATGAAACGAATTTTTATGACTCTTACGTGCAACAAGTATCTGTTGTTCAATTATGAGTAGTGATTTCAGAAAATTCAATTAGCTTTTAGTACGACCGACGGAGGTGAACGCGCGACGGTGAACGTTTCTGCGAAAGATTACACGCGGGAAGTCGACTGCTGATTAAACGGTTGGCCTTGTTTATCCAACAAGTACGTTTTTGTATAATCAAAATCGCTAATAACAATAATCCAATGCGACGAAAATTGGCAGTAAAAATTACACGAAACAGAGTCGGTCGACGGTCAAACGTGTGTGCTCTCTTGCTCGTTCAATGAAACGAATTTACAACGTGCAGCGCAAGTGCCTTTGATATAATTAAATCGTTAATAAGTCTTCCGCGCGCAACAAAAATTGACAATAAAAATAATGACGAAACGAGAGTCGATCGACGCTCAAACGGCGGATCTTGTTTATTCGATCAAACGAATTTGCACAACACACGCTAAGTATGCTCGGTCGAAACGACACATCTCTCTTTACCTCGGCATCACGCGCTCTCTGTATTCGCAGTTCGACCTATGAAAACAACGAAACGTCAATAATAGCCCGCGGGAGAAAAAGCCGCGCGTAATAGCGCCACTTAAATTCCAGCGTGTTCTCGTAAAATATACAGAGAGAGAGAGAGAGAGAGAGAGAGAGAGGGAGACCCGCGATACACAGACAGCCGAATAATATTTTTAGAATGTCACGGGGAGTTCTCCTCGCGGATATTGTTCTTGCGAGACTCGCGTGGCACGCTTGGCTTAAGCTCGCATTATATATCTCCGAACAGTAACCTCGAGCAACAACGACTGCGAGCTTTCTCTCTCTCTCTCTCTCTCTCTCTCTCTCTCTCTCTCTCTCTCTCGAGTCGCTACGGAGAGACTTTCAGAGAAGAAAACCTCGAGCCGCGTTTGCGAAAAAATAAACGGTTTGTGAAATTGCAATTGATTGCGTGCGCGCGCGCGCGATTTCATAGATTTGGGGAATGCGATTTTCAATCGGCCGTGATTCCATGTAACCAACTCGATTTTGAATTACACACATGAAAATTGAAATCGCATTTTTGCGTTTGCAAGTAACAGATTTTCAGCGAGGCGTAATTTTGATCCGCATACGCGTATGGGATCTGTTTTATCGTATTTTGCGACAAAAATTCAGTTGCACGTCGCGTTGCGATTCAAAAGGAGAAAGTCATAGTGCTCGCGCTATCGCAAATATTGCGAAATCGCGCATTCTTACGGATGAAGAGGCAGGGGATTCCGCCTGAATGCGTGACGTTTTGTTTACGTTTATGCCACAGCGACCTTGCTCACCCTCTCCCGCCCCGTCTCAGCTGATCGCTAACCACGTGGTCGTTGACTTTGTTCACGAGTGCCCATCCAGGCCCACTCAGTACGTCATATTAAGCCTTGCTCACACTGTCCGTTCAACATGCACGTCAACTGTTTTAATTAACTAATTTTAAACAAAATTTATTTCGGAATGGCGCATATCCCGTGGGGCGCGATCGATCTGATTTTTTATATATAGAAGAACAAATCGACATAAATCAATGAAACAGATATTCAAATTTTTGTATTTCTCATTATTGGGTTATCTCACGTAATGCTTTCTTGTAATGTAATGTTTTCTTATTGATCAAGATGAATGATATAATATTTTATAGTTATATTTATCGCATAATGTCGTACAATGTGTATGTATTATTCGAATTTACAAAGTGTTTTGTACAAAGTGATAGCGTGTCAGTTGAAAATTTAATAATTTAAGAGTGAGAAAATAGATAAACGTTGTCATGAAAGAGAATGTTTGAGACATATTTTGCTTTGAGAGTTTCGAAATACGGTATCCAAAAAGACCCTGATTCATTCTTTGTAGTTTAAAACACAAAAACCTCTATCGCCAGGGTATTGAAAATTTAAAATAAAATTAAATTAAAAAGACGAGAACAAGTTATAAGTAATAGTGGTCAATATATCTTAGATCAAAGTTGGATGTGTTGGATTTCAGCACTTACTGTAAGAAGTCGCTTTACTTATGAGATGACCCGATATATTCAGAGAGTAACTTTCGCGATTAAAGATCTCGATGGATTCTTATTCTCACTCGCGACACGGCCCGGCTTTTAGATCCTCTCTTTCTCTTTCGCTCTTCCTGACATTAGCCGCTACAAAGGAAAAAAAAAAAAGTAAAGATATGCTCGGCGATATCCGTCGTTTCCTTTCTTTATTTCGCGCGTCCCTTCGATCTATCTCGCGATCGCCTCGTTGTTCTTCGCACGCGCGCGAAACATCGGAGACGATTCGCCGCTCGTGCCGTTCGCAATTGCAACGGTTTTTTGCCGGAGAACGAAACGAAGAAAGAAATTTATTTCCGGGATGGCCGAGTCGCGCGCACACATTAGTAACATTAATTGTCTCGCGCCTTCCTCCTCTCTCTCTCTCGCGCGCGCGCGCGCGCGTTT